GTGTCAGTCATATGGGCTGCCTTCTCCTGGATAGCGTCAAGCTTCTTGTTGGAGCTGCACTCATCCAAGCTAGTGGTGAGTATTCCATCACACTCCTGAATTATGGACAGGCTTTGGGGAGTCAAGAGGTGAGTTACCCACCACAGAATTCCCAGTTTTGATTTTGTACCACAACGTTATATGGCTAGTCCAGTTTAGTTTCTGGTCAACAGTAAACCTAGGATAGTGGCGGATAATGAGGGACATCTGCATTGATGCTCTGTGGCTAAGATAATTGAGCCCCAAAAGCCACAAGCATCTTCCTTTGTGCCGGGTATGATTCTAACCAACATCGGTCCCTGTTTGCTACAGGGCCATGCTACAGTCACAGCACTGATGTTTAGCTGCCGTGCATGCAACTTAGAAGTCTGCACAGATGAAAACAAAATAAAACAAAAACAAAACAAATATCCCCATGCTCCAACCCTTTCCAAACTTATTGCAAAACAGCATCTCTGTTAATGTTGAATTGAGCTGTCTGCTGTGCCAGTATTTCTGCCAATGAGGGCCGCACGATTATCACTAAATCACTGCAAGTGCTGAATATCACCATGAATTTGTCATCTTTGCATTTCGGGATAAAGTGTTGGAACATGACCTTCCCGTATTTGCTCGGAAGCTCAGGAATTGCTACCTAGGCAAGTATTTTGTGCTTGGAAGATTCCATTCGTATCTGCCCTTCATTTACTGGTTTAACTTGACTTCTGGAAGAACATCCCCGTCCACCCAAGATGAATTTTGCGTAATTTATCAATGTGTATTATACCCTTTTCAAAATACGTAAATCCATAGCAGTAAATATTCCAATTTTACATGTGTATTTCTGTTTACTTCTTCCTCAACAAATGTAATATTGAACATAAGAAACAGGAGCTAGAGTAGGCCATTCAACCCCTGAAGCCTGTCCTGCCATTCTGTAAGATATGGCTGATCTGCCCCAGGCCTCAACTCCTCTTTTGTGCCAGTTCATCATAGCCCGAGATTCCACGCTATTTCAGTAATCTGTCTACCACTTCTTTAAATACTTTCAGTGACCTAGCTTCCACATCTCTCTGGAGTAAAGAGCTCCAGACATTCACTACCCTCTGAGAGGAGAAATTCTTTGGCATCTCGGTTTTAAATTGTGTGTCCTCTTGTTATGTAACAATGTCTCTCACTAGTTGAAATATCTTCTCAACATCTACCCTTGTCAAGCCCCCTCAGAATCTTGCATGTTTCTTGAGTATAGCTGCTACTTGATACATGACTGATTCACGTTCCACTGTAGCCCCATTGTCGTAATTTATTTTTGTATGTCGTGTATGAGGCCATGGCTTTCAAAACAAACAGAAACACAACTCAAAATACAGAAATTCAGTTAGAAGAGAAGTTTAACTTACTCAGTCACTTTTTGACACATAATTGAGGCCATGTTGGCTTTTATTTTTAATTTTTAGATTATTTTTATGCTGTACGCTCCTTCTTGATTTATTCCTTTACTGAGCGTTTTAAGTTGCTGTCAATCTGCCGGCCATGGCTTCCTCTCTTTCCAAAGCAGAGACTTCTCATGTTAATTCTGCTCAAGTTACTAGGGTGGGGCCAAAATTTCACTCCTGAATTGGATATGTGGAGTTGGGAAAATTTCCAACCTGAGCAGCAGCCCTCCATCACAGTGTGACCAATCAAAGCAAGGTCATCCCAAACATGAGGAACAGAATCTGCGAAGAGCTGTAGTAATGCCTTGGTTACAATACTCCAACTCTGTCTATATGCAATGGAAATGCATTCACTGTGACCTCAATTGTCTATGGAAGGTGTATTTAGCATGTTGGCTTCTTTGAGAGACATTTTAAAAAAACTTCCATTAATTTATGCTTCTTGTCTCATGCCCATTTAAATATTGTGATATCTAATAAGTTAATGTTTTTCTTTTGTGCTTCAGCTGTAAGTTAGCTTCAATTGAGGATAATTGACAAATTCTTCAATTCTCCTTCTGTATGAGTCCAAATACAGCATATATGAAGGTATTGTTACTATGTGGCTGCAACACCTAGTAAAAGTAGCCCTGGAAAATCAAAAGGTAGCACTTGAAAAAATCTTAAGAAAAACCCTTGAAAAAATTATTTTGGCAGAAGGCCAGATTCAAAGAAGTGGAACTGTTTACATAATATGAACAACCAAGTAGTGTGCAATTGTCTGTCAAAGCCATGGTTGTAAAATATAGCATATTGAAACTCATGTTTCCAATGGCATAGAGTACAAAAGCAAAGAATTTTTGTTGAACTAATACAACACAATTAGACACTGCAATGACTGTGATTTCCATTTCTGGGCACCAGAATGACTGTGAAAGCTTTGTAGAGACCTTACAAGAAATTGACCTGGAATAAGGAATTACAAAGGGGCTGAGATTAGACCCAAAAAACCTGAGGGGATTTCATTAAAATGTATAAAGTCATAAAGCGTTGATAGAACAAATAGAAACTGTTTCAAATGGCTGAAGAATCGATAAGCAGATGGCTCAGATTTAATTTCATAAGTTGATTGGCAATAAAACTGGAGACAGTCCACGAAAAAAGTTTTACACAAAAACGGATTGGAATTTGGAATGCACAACCTACCTGATATTGTACTGGATACAGATTCACATTTGTGTTCACAAGAAAATTGAAAATATACTTGGAGAAAAAATATAGGTAAGTAATAAGTTGGAGAAGGGAGGAAGGAGGACGTACTGGATTTTTCTTGAAAGGAACTGGTGCATACTTAATGGGCTAAAGGACTCCTTCTATGCTGCATTATTGTATTCTATAGGATCCAAAGCACATTACAAAGGTGCAAGACAAAGACTGTGAAGGTTGAAAGGAGGGTTGCTTTATGGGGCCTGGGAACAAGGAAAGCAACAGGGCCCATGATTTCTCTCCTAGCCTCGGCCCATCCATTGTAACTCATGCCACCCCATGCCTCCTACCCAATGCCCGTATCTTCTCAAATCCTTCTTGCCAAACTGTAAGACTCATAGAATTATTATAGCACAGAAGGAAGCCATTTGGCCCAACACATCTACATCAGCTCTCCAAATAAGCTTATGCCCCTCTATCCACAGCCGTGGTTCTTCACTTTCCATGCAAACCTACCCTCCGGGATATCTCATGCCCTTGTATTCACACCATAGCCCTTTATAACCTCTATGTCAACTTTCCAGTCCGTGCCCCTCCCATCCATTACCCTTTGCCTTCACACCTGCCATGCCAACACATTTTGTACCCATCATGAGCGGCCCTCAGAAACCATGTTGAAATATAATAAAGCTTCACTATATTTTAAGAAACACATTCATTGATTAGAACTCATTCAATAGATTTGAGTTCATTTATGTTCTCGATTCCTTATAATAACAAAGATTTTTACCGTAGTTGTACATCAAAATCAGCTAATCCCTTTATAATCACTTAGAGCAACCAAACAAACTGTAAATTTATGACCACACCCCGCCCCCTCTCGCTGCAATAATGATAGTGCCTCTTGACTCCTTCCATAACCTAATTGCATTACAATACTCTCAGGCTGATGTCAACAACATTTAATTATATAGGCTTTTTAATTTTTAAAATTTAATGAGCAGGCGATTTAAAATACTTAAAACCTTGGCAGTTCCACAGATCAAATCCATTCTTACCTACTGATAACAATGCCAAAGGAGTCAAATTCTCAAAATTGTAAATCCCATAATTCATTTTACAGAAACTTCAATGATGAAAAATTTGCTTTTAACTGAAGTAGCTTCACTTTGAAATGTACCACTATCTCCATAGATGTGTGAAATACATCCTGCCCTTGTTTCCTCTCTACCACTTCAAAGAAAATGGTGAGTGCTGAGCTCAGGAGCTAGATATTCAGAATCGAATATACATACCAACATATAAATTAAGAGCAAGAGTAGGCAAGTCAGCCCCTAGAGCCTGTTCCACTATTCAATAAGGTCCTAACTGATCTGATTGCTGCACATTCCCACCTTCTCCCAATAACCTTTAATTCCCTTGCTCATTGGAAAATGAGTCTTCAAAATATGCAAAGAATCTATTTTCACCACCTTTTGTGGAAGAGTGTTTGAAAGACTGAACCCTCTGTGAAAAAAATCTCCTCATCTCTGCCTCACCTGGGTGATCCCTTATTTTTAAACAATAACCTCTAGTTCTAGATCCTCTCACAAAAGGAAACATTCTCTTCATATCCACTTTGTCAAGACCCCTCAGGATCTTTAAATCAGAATCAGGAGTCTGGGGCCATTTTGGAACAGTGTCCTTCCAAATTTTCAAGGATTTTGGCCAGGAACTTTCCTGGAGGAAAGTTGCAACAGGAGTGATACCATCAACTCTACCACCTCAAAGGACCAAGACAGTAGATGCATAGAAACCACAACCAAGTTTCTTTACTCGTTTGGAAATATGTCATTGTTCCTTCATAGTCACTGGGTCAAAAACCTACAATTCCCTTTCAAACTGCGTTGTTGTCCCTACACCGAAAGGAGTACAGCTTTCAAAAGAAAGCTCACAATACCTTCTCTGAGGCAGTTAAGGATAAACACTAAGCAATGCCCACATCCTATAAGTAAATGAAAAGAAACAGTCTTGTGATCATGAGCTATCTTGTAACTGAGATTCTCTGCTCTTTGAGCTCCAGAACTTGATCTCAGCATTGTGAAACAATGTCAACTAGATTCTCAACTTTCTTGCAGGGTTGGAGGAAAAGTCAGGAGGATAGTTGCTTTGATTCTCAGATGCACACCTCTCAGTGGTTTGATTCTGAGCAGCTCTGGTGAATATCTGGGATTAGTCTGCCCCTAGTAGTGAGACTTGTCACTGTCATGGATTGATGGAAAGAGCAGAGGGAGGACACAGTAATCTCTCTGATTTTGAAACAGTGTCAATTTTTCAGTAAAAATCATGGCACAATAAATAAAGAAATGTCTTTCTTCCCAGGTGCACACAGAGTGAAATGACGCATCCAATCAGGGAACCTCTTCAAAGGAGGAAGTCACTTGGGCCGATGTCTCCAAATGCTGCCAAGAGACTATATCGCAACTTGTCCTTCAGACTGAAGGGTGGTTCCAGCTCAGATGAAGCCTGCCTCATCAAAAAAATAGAGAAAGAAAGAAGCAAGAAATCTTCATCCCTGGTGTGGATTCACAATTTGACCTGATTATCAACAGTTTATTATGCTAGCTTTTGCAGAAGTCGGTGTAATATCCCTAGAACAGAAGTCTAGAAGGCCAGGCTAATGTCTTGAGGATATGCGTTCAAATCCAACAACAAACCTTGTTCGATTAAATTCAATTAATAATGCTGGAATATAACGCTAGTCTTAGTGATGGTGACCATGACAATTACGCCTGGCTGTTATAAAAATCCATCTGGTTCACAAATCCTTTTTAGTAAAAAACATTTTCCATTTTCACATGTCTGGCTTACATATTACTCCAGACCCACAGCAATATGGTTGACTTTTAACTATCCTCTGAAATGGCCCAGCAAGCCATTCAGTTTAAGGACAGTTAGGGATGGGCATTGAATAATGGTCTTGCTGGCAATACCCATATCCCAAGAAAGAATAATAAAAAAGGAAGGTAATTCTGAGGATAAATCCTGGGCCCTACTAACTATCATCCTTGTAACCATTATTATTCTCAGTATTTGCTCTACCGGTCTCTGTGATTAAGAAAGAGCCAACTGGATTTGCAATACTGCAGTAGGCTGTTCGACCTAACAATTTCATTCATTGTTTATGTTCCACACCAGTACGTACATTAATATATTTCTAATCAGGAATGTGAGGTACATACCACTGAAAATGGTGCAGATATCTCTGCCACTGTCAGATCTGACAGAATCTCAATGACAATGGTGACAAGCTCAGGAACTACCACAGACCAGAGCATTTTGATCCACATTCTAACTTCAGAATCTTTGCTCAGAACATTTAAGTGCCTAAGATGTAAAATCTCAATGTTCAATATCAGATACTGAGATGGTTAAGTCTCTGGATTGTAATAAGCCCACAGTATGTAATTACACTATAAGGTTCAATGTAACACCACTCTATTAAACCGCAGTATGACTCGAAGAGCACGCCGGCATCTCGTAAGTATTATAGTGAAATGCCACAGAGCAATGAGTCACACTGGAAAAATATACCTGCATTGTGACTCATATGGTAGGTTGAAATGAAAGCTGCACCATTGCCTGTCCGACTCCCTAGCTCTACAGAATGGAGTCTCTCACTGCTGTTACCATAGAAACCAGTCACAGCCAGGTTTTCCAACATTCTTTCCATCTTTCAGTTCCACATAAACTGGATGTTGACAGAGTAACAAAAAGGAGCCTGAAAATGAAAACATTCATAAAACAAAATTATCTAAGGACGCCAAAAGCTCTGTGGCTAACCAGGTATTAGTGATGGCGTAGAGGGATCTCTGTGGTTCAAAGTCCTGGGGGTTACCAGAAACTGAACTGCACCAGAAAAACAGTAGCTATAAGAGTAGGTCAGGGGCTAGAAATCCTGTTCAAAGTAACTTACATCCCATCTGTCATATGTCTCCCACCATCTACAAGACTCAAATAGGGAGTGTGATAGAATGTTCCCCACTTGCCTGGATGAATGCAGCTCCATCAACACTCACAAAGCTAGCCACATCTAAGTCAAAGCAGCCTACTTGACTAGCATCTTATTCGTTACTTTCAATGTACACTCCTTTCACCACTGACACACAGTGGCAGCAGTGTGTACCATCTACAAGCTGCACTGAACCAAGTCACCCAAACTTCTTCAACAGCATCTTCCAAACTCATGACTCCTACCAATTAGGGACAAAGGCAGTTAATGCATGTGAACACCTCCACTAGCAAATTTCCTTCTGGAACCACACTATCGTGACTTGGATCCGTACTGCTGTTACTTGTTGCTGGATCAAAATCTCAGAACACCTTTCCTAATAGCAGTGAGGGTGTTTTTTATGTCCCAAGGATTGCAGCAGTTCAAGAATATCATTCACCACTACCTCTCTAACCCTAGGGATAATACAAGTAGTATTTGTATGCATGGAGAGGGACCACAAATGTTTGATTGCTCCTGCCTGACTTTTTTGCAAACTTGTTTGTTAAATACTGGAAATTAAAATGGGAGTGCGTTGAGGAGGTTGGAGCTGGAGCTGGCAAAATGCAGCAAGGACCTCACGCATTCATTTACTGCATGGTAGAGCTATTAGTGACACATACATTTCTTCTTAATTCGGAGAGTTTGAGCTGGGTCAAAGAGCCTGCATTCTTTATGGCAATACCACAAGCACAAGTCAATTATATAGGACCACCAGGCAATAAATCAGCTCAATGTTAACTGGGTGACATAAAATATTTTATTAGAGGATTTTCTTATAAAAAGGAGACAGAGGGGAAACAGTGAGTGAGAAAGTCTGTGAGTCACTACATGAATGGGATGCAGAGAGGCTCTGCAAGGCTTGTGCCAAACTTAATCAATAAGTGATACGCAGGTAGCCTGAAATGGATTCCAGGCAAACCTGATTTGGTATCTGTTTCCAGTGGATGCTTTGTTAGGCGTCAAAGCAGTTCCATGCTTTCTATAGGTGGAAATAACAAATTTGCTGAGTTGGGGTCTCTATAAACTCCAAAATCAGGATACAGAATGATGTATTTCAAAATTGCATGAGGGTGTTTTACCTTTTAAATTCTAGAATATTCAGTATGATTCAATCTTTGATGCTGTGGAACATGAAGATCTTGATGCAGTTCAACGGATACTTGACCAACCAGGTACACAGGATGACCTGAATGAGGTTACCAGCAATGGACTTGTACCACTGGATATTGCTGTGCTGACTAATAACATCTCAATGGCGAGCCTCTTAATGAATGCTGGAGCCAGGGATAACCATCAATGTGAGTAGAGAATGCTGAAGGCTTCACTGTGATTCTCTCCTTGTTTCTTTGTATCTGAGATGGAACTAACTGATAATCAGCAGTAACACCGCTACAAGATTCAACGTTACACTTACTGCAGTGGGCCTAAGTGAGAAAAATGAATTTTTCTTATTAAAGGTTAAGTATTCCATAAGTTCCCCCGACTGAGTTTTAGAATTGATGTTAAGAATTGGCAAACGCTTATTCCCTTAACCACTGTACAAACTGCTTTCACTGCTGCTTTAATCAATCCTGTTGGGACAAGAGGGCATTGGAACAAGTTGGAAAAGATCAATCCCACTTATTGAATTTAAATTAAAATGGAAGCTCTCCAAGAACCAGGAGGATCCATTTCTGATTCCCCAACCTGTGTGGAGTTAAATGAACAGTGGCAGGGTTAGAGTTGCACTTCAATCAGCCTAGATTAACCAAGGAAGAATTCATTCAGGATTCCCATTTCTGATTACAATCTGAGGATCCTGTGTTAACAGGTTTGAGCATAGTTATAAAAGCCACCATGGTTAAATAGTCTTGCCTAAGCTGACCCACATGGAATGACACCTCAGTTGAAAAGCTGGGAGGCTGCTAATATAAAAAATAGCACATTTAGGAGAAGAGATTGGAAAATGGATAACAAGATAAAAGAAAGAGGACCATTTCCATTGTTATGAAGTTTACAGTCTGTGAAGTAATGTAAAATGTAGTTACTGGGAATGTAAGAAACACAACAGACAATTGGTCCACAGCAAAGAACCACATGCAGCAATAATTACCAGATTATTTACTTCCATGATGTTGGCTGTGGGATAAATATTGACCAGATACCAGGCAATGCACTCCTGCTCTTCATTATAAACATGGGATCCTTTACTCATCTGGGACAGTTGGCCAGACTGTTTAACATCTTGTCTGAAAGACAACAACTCTGAAAGTATAGCACTTCCTCTTCATTACAATGGGAATAGTGAGCCTAGATTTTATGCGCATAAAGCAGTGTGACTTTTCAGTCACGTAAGCCATGATAGAATTTGTCCTGGATTATGCAGTGCCCATTATCCTGGGGTTAGTATGCCATTCTGGTGAAGTTTGACCCCAGCCAATCATCCATGTTCTGGTTATTTTAATCTTAACTGTGATCCTTCCCTCTTGGGCTTTAGAGTAGAGTTTTGCTGCAAGAATCTTTAACGATGATAACAATATCCAGTTCCAGTCAGCTCCATCCGTTGCATCAACCAGAGAGCAAATGCACAGTCCCTGTCTGTGTCCCTCACCTAACCTTGAGATATTGACATAAAAATAGAAATTGCTGGAGAAATCCTGTGGGTCTGGCAGCATCAGTGGAGAGAGCAACAGAGTTAACTCCAGTAGGTCTCTTCTGAGTTCCAAAGAGGAGTTAACTCTGTTTTTCTCTGTCCACAGATGCTGCCACAGCTGCTGAGTTTCTTCAACTTTTACTGTTTATATTTCTGATCTCCAGGATATGCACTATTTTGCTTTTATCTTACAATATTGGGCACCTTTCAAACAGCATTCAGTCATAAATAGAAGAACATATGTCAGAGGATGCATTTCCTTCGTTTGTGTTGTGGATAATGTAGCAGTAGTGACATTGCTAAGTAATTTTGCATCCACCATACCCCCCCGCTCCCCCAAAATTCAGTTGAAGCTGGTGTAAAAACTATGACAGTTTATCAACTTTCTCAGTCCCGTATTATTTGTTCCTCCATTCTCTTTATCTCGACATTCTTCATGCTGATGTTTTCTCCTTCTAGTCAATGAAGGCAACTGGGACATGCACCTGACCACTTTAGTGAGCAAAGCAACGCAGAAAATTGCAGAACTATTAGAACTCAGGACCGAAACTTCGGAGGCTGATTTCTACAGTAAGACCAGGGAACTCCGGACTTGGAGGTTCAGACAAAAGCTGTATAAACAAATGAAAGCTGCTTTCGAGAATGCACGTAAGTACATAAAGTCAGTGAAACTACTTCAGAGACCGAGAAATCACTGCTTTGAGATATTATTTAACATATGTCCATCAGCAAAGTCCATTCTTCCAGGAGAATAATATCGTCACCAAAGTTAGCAAGTGTTACTTATTAATCTTTTATTGAAGCCCACAACACCATGCAGAATTTTGCTGTAAAGTCACACACTGGCTGTTCCTATGGGGGAGTGATCTCATGGATCTACTTCTGTAGCTGCCTACGTGGTGTTCTCCAGATTTTAACCCTGTACCAGCTAGATATTTTCTTTGTTTCTTTCACTACATAGCAAGAAAATTAAAAGAAACCAAACTAACTTCAGCTCTGGCCATATTTCAGGGTATGAGTGTGAAGGAACCCAGAGACGTCCTCTCTTTCTGTCTCCCATGTACGGTGTATATACATAATAAAGGTGTTTGATCATAAGATTATAAGATATAGAAGCTAAATAGTCTGCACTGCCATTCGATCATGGCTGATATGTTTCTCAATCCTATTTTCCTGCCTTTTTGCTGTAACCCTTAATCTACTTATATGTAATCCTGATGGTTTCCTCGCGTGATTTCTCATCTCCAGGCACCACAACGTCCCCACACTCCTGTGGGACATCACTGCCCACTATCAGCCACACTGAGAAACTGTCTTTTCTTTAATGCTTGTGGTCCATCCCTAATTGCTCTTGAGAAGATCGTGGTGAGCTGCCTTTTTGAACCACTGCCATCCATACGGAGCAGGTTCATGTGGTGTGGTGTAGACTATTAAAGAGAGAGTTCCAGGTTTTTGATATAGCGACAGCGAGATAACAGTGAAGTGGCTCCTAGTCAGAATGGTGTGTGGGTTGAAGGGGGTCTTACAGGTAGTGGTGCTCCAATGCATCAGCTGTCCTTGCCATTCTAGGTGGAAGAGGTCACGGGTTTGAAAGATACTGTCACAAACCATTGTTCTCTCCTTCCTCCATTCTAATCTGATTTGCCACCCTCACTCGAATTCCATTCACTGCAATGTTTGCTTCAGTATCACTGCACACAAACTAAATTAAGGACCATTAACTGTGGAGTAAAGGGCTAACCATACCTTTACTCTAATGATAGCCACTAAACATTTACATAAGTAGCTATGTAAAGATGTCATCAGACGAAATGGAACTGGGACCTGAGTGTGAAGGAACCCAGAGACATCCTCTCTTTCTGTCTCCCATGTACGGTGTATATACGTAATAAAGGTGTTTGATCATAAGGTTATAAGATATAGAAGCTAAGTAGTCTGCACTGCCATTCGATCATGGCTGATATGTTTCTCAATCCTATTTTCCTGCCTTTTCGCTGTAACCCTTAATCCCCTAACTTATTGACTGTCTTAAAAGCACTCAATGACTTGGCCTCCACGGCCCTCAGTGGCAATGAGCTCCAGATTCATCACCAGCTAGCTGAAGAAATTCCTACTCATCTCAGTTCTAAAGTATCGTCCCTTCCTCCTGAGGCTGTGCAACCAGGTCCTGGTCTCTCCTACTAGTGGAATCGTTCATTCTATTGAGGCCTCTCTGTATCCTGTATCCTGTAAGTTTCAATCAGATTGCCCCTTCCTGTAAATTCCCTCAATTACAGACCCAGAGCCCTCAACCGCTCCTCATAAGCCAAGCCCTTCATCCCTGAGATATTCTTGTAAATCTCCTCTGGACCCCTTCCAACACCAGCACATGTTTCCTTAGATACCGAGCCCAAAACTGCTCACAATATTCCAAATGATGTTCACTGACATGGCTGTTGATCATCTTCTATCAATAACCCAGAGTTGATCTTAGAGGTGACCACAGCCAGAAAACCAACAGCAAGTGGCAAGAATGTGCCTGAAGAGAAGCCGAGTGGAGGACTTTAAAGTCAATCTGGCAATCACGCTACAGGGGAGAAAAGGCCAAACAGCACCCAGTGGTTGGTATAGACAAGACCATGGCAGATCCAAATCTTAAGATGGATTACTCTCTAACCTACCCCATTCTGGAGCTTTCTGAAATGTAGAATGCACACACAGGTCATGAAGGGGAAGAATGGGAGTGAGCTGTTTTGTGCAATTCAGCTTGGACCATGCAGAACTGCAAGAATGTCATGGCAGCGAGAGATGTGCAGTTAGGTACCAATTGCCTCTTTGCTGCTACCTTGCAGTATGGGTGGTGGGGAGATATCTTCACCAGAGCCAAACCTGCCCAGTTATCAAGGGAGCATGCCATGTATCTCAAAAGAGAGCCTATTTTAGAATGATTTGCTCAAACACAAGTAGAGGATTTCCATTTGAGGGACAGAAATTTAGACATAGACAATTCAAGTCTACAATTTTCAAGGAAATTGCAAACGCTGAATTCTTCTTGGAGGAAGTTATAGACTCACAAGATGGTTTCTGGTATACAGATATCATGGTTAAAGGCAGGAAAACTCAATTTCAGTTAGATATAGGGGCATCTGTGTCCATTCTGTGTGACTCCACACCCTGGTTGTAACCTGGATGTCTCCACCTATCTTTAATTCAACTCAGGGTGCAGGAAGTATTCAAATCAGAGTGAAAGGGCAGATACAGTCTAAACGCCATCATGTTGGGAAAGAGAAAGATATTTGTACATCATACCCAATCACCATTCCTCTTCGTTAATTAGAGATGGTTTTTAGGTTTTGAGTCTTCTTTGTTTAGAAATTGGAGAAGAAAATGAAATTGACTCAAAACATAATGATTTAATGTCCATGACAGAAATTCCATCCGCAGCACTACAGGAAAATAGTGCAGATCTTTCATTTCTCTTTGAGGCAAGGCAAAAGGAGTGGGGAGTAGGGTGAAGGTGGCCAGCAGCAAGGGGACATTCTAGACTTTACTCTTTCAGGGAATAGTGGCGGAGAATGAAACTGCCACTCATGTTGTTGATTTAGTGGAATCAGCATCATGAATCTCCTATATTTCTTGACTAATCATGAAGTCTCTTTATCTGTTTGGAAGAGAATCATCCCTTTTTGGAACAAAGCAACGAAGAGGTGTGTTAATCTATTTATTCTAGTGAGCCCACTGATAAAAATAACAGCAACAGCAAATGCAATTGGATATGGAATTTTTTTTTCCTGTAATGAATGTCAGAAGCCATGTAGGGAAGGAAAAGGAGATTGATATGCTGAAGTCTCCACTTTTGTCAGCCATACTGAACACCCATTAAAAATGGCAATTAGCTTAACAAAGTTACAGGAAACTCAATGAAACTAGAAGACCTGCCAGTGTTTCAGGCTAAGTGCAGTGGACAGACAGTAATTGTAGACACTTGAACAGTAGGTGGGAAAACGGGTGAAGACAATGTTCTCTCACAAATGAACACCAGTGAAGTTTCAGAACTTATTCCAGGCAGTAAGATAGCCACAATGTCTGAGAAGTCTCAGATTATGGAGTTAGAAAGGGATCTTCAAACATACATGAAGGAGATTTCAGAGCTTTGACACAGAATTTATGATTATTGAAGATTCAAAGAGGATGGATAGTATCTTGCCTCTACAGATTTGGATCATCTTAGAATCCTTACAGTGTGGAAGCAGACCATTCGGCCTATTGAGTCTATTCCAACCCTCCAAAGAGCATGCAACCTAGACCCACCCCTCGTATCCTGTCCCTGTAACCCTGCATTTCCCATGGCTAATCCACCGAACCTACACATCCCTGGACACTATGGGCAATTTAGTATGGCCAGTCTACCTAACCTGCACATCTTTAGACTGAGGGAGGAAACCAGAGCACCCGAAGGAAAACCACGCCTCTATTGGCAGAAATCAACTGCATAAGACATAAATTCACAGCTGTCGCAACCATGCCAGATATTCTGCAGAGTGGTCCTTGAACTGTGAATTTGTATAGCATGATTCATCTTCTTTCAGTTTTCAAATGTTCCACTTCAAAAATAACCACTAACAAAACTGTAGCCTCAAATAAGATAAAGATTAGTTTATAACACAATTGCTGAAAGTTACTAAGTAAAAAAGTGAGGCAGATATATACTACATTGTAGATATAAAGATTAAAATTACGTACTGATGAAAGCTACTTATAAAGAAGAAAATAATATTGGTATGTTATTGAAAGGCTGGCTTGCTTTTAGATTTCTCTTTATATGGTCAAGGGGTTAAAAATTTGAAGTCAGAATTCAGCAGCTGTAATGGATTTTATAGTTGAACAGCTTTTTTTTATTAATCTGTTTTTCTAATCAACCTGTTCAGAGATGTTATTACACCCTCTGGAGCAGATGGAACTTGAACCTGGGCCTCCACTGTATCACAAGAAGGCCCCTCAGAACTCTTCTTGGAGTGCAAATGGTTTGCAGTCTGTCTAATGCAGATCAAACCTTAAAAGGGTTACAGTATTAATTTTGAGGAATTATTGTTCCACAAAGCAAAGTCAATTGTGCTAGGCTGTGGTGTCTTTCTAGACTCCTGTTCTATCAGAAGCTTTGAATTCTCACAGTTTTAGAAGATCCAATGTGTTGTCGAAGGCTATTAAATTCTGAGAGTCTCTCTTTATGATTTGCTGCTGAAATTTTGGGCTGTATTGAATGAACAAAAACAGTCATGTGACTTCTAGCATCCATCTTGTAAGATTCAGTATCTATTTTAAAAAAGGCAGAATAGCTTTCTTTGCAAAATTATATAGTATTATAAATACACTGTTATGACAAAACAGTGAGCAAAGAACATTCAGGTGAACTTTGTGGATTCAAACCTCTGAAACAGACCACCAGGAGGTGGTTCAGCAACTGTAGGCAGCTATTGGGAAAACTATCAAGGGAGAAGGAGATGTTGAAGTCCAAATTCAATCAAGCCAATATTGAACATTTAGAGATTATAAATCTACAGAAATGTCAGCTGAAGTCTGCAACTGAGTCTCATCAGCAAGCCATAGAAGTACTCAAATTTTCTATCATTAAAGCAGGAGAGGCCCAAACAGAGCTTTGTGAGCTCAGGAATACTTTAGAAATGTTTAAAGTCAAGCATCGGCTGGAGCTGTTAAAAGCTTAGCTATCAACAGCAACACAGAACTATATAGCCACAGACAGGGATTCACACATTGGAAATGGTCCCAAAAAATGTTATCACAGTACAGTATGTTTTATAGTACAATAATGCACAAATGCTGTACCACATCTATAAAGATTACAATAGTATCCAATGGAAGTGTTTCCCATTAGGCAAGCTTGCCTTCGTTGTTCAGACCATTGAGTAAAGGAGTTGGGACATCATGTTGCAGTTGTACTTTTGGAGTACTATGCGTAGTTCTGGTCACCCTGCTAAAGGAAGTATATTGTTAAATTGGAGAGGGTGCAGAAAAGATTTACAAGGATGTAACGTGGTCTGGAGGATTTGAGTTATAAGGAGAGGCTGGATAAGCTGGGACTCTTTTCACCGCAGAATTGTTTTCAGAATGCTCTTTATTCTTCTTTTCATTGACTAGATTAATCTCTAGACCAGAGTACAGTGCAGAATGAAACAAGAGGGAGAATTTTTGTTCATTGTCTTCTGTTCTTAAGGGTTTGTGATTATTCAAGTTCTGGAGGTTTATTTCTTTAATCAGCTTTTCCTTAATTGGTCTTCGCTGCCTTTACATGTGTCACAGCCCAGGTGCAGAAGAGAAGCTGCCATCCCTGTCCAACAATGTGTTTGGCATCCAAGGAAATGATCAGGGAGCACAAACATCCTACACATCCTCCAAGAGGGCCAAGAACACTGCTGCAATTGACACCTAGGGCAAAAGAGATTTTGGGCAGTGGGAACATAGAAGTAGGATGGAAATTGTAAATAGTTCATGAGGTTAGTAGTTTGTGAGAAGAGAAAACTTAGGGGAAGATATAGAGAAAAGGATTAACTACAGTTTTGCTGTAATAATAGCTACTGAGCACATGTATGAGGAACTATGTCATGATGATATCAGATCACATATGCAAAGTCCACACTGTGTAGTGTTCCAGAGATGTCCTCTCTAATCGTCTCCTGCATAAAGTGTAAATACTTAATAAAGATTGTTAATGTTCCCTGACATGAAAGTGGGCTGCTTTCGGTCAACAGCCCAAATCTGATCTCACAATATAAACCACCATTCTGAGGAAGACAGTCATTTCCCTCTGTGTGTCGACTGTCTCAGGCAGACCCAGTTCAACATTGAATGATAGGATGACATGAGTTATCTCTTTCCTTGACAGATGTCCCTGATTCTCCAGAGAAAGTGTATTTGTCAGTGATTGGTAGTACATCCCTTCGAGTCACATTCCAGGAACCAGCAAGGAGCAGCACCTTGATAATCACCCGCTATAAAGGTAATCTGAAATAATTGCTTTAGATGTCACTGCTGTAACTTGTCCACTATAGGGCTGCCAACTGTTTAATTTGTGAGCAGCTTTGCAGAATTTCTTTCAGTCTCTAGGTAAGACTGTGAGTAACTGAATAATACTTCACAGGAAATTAACAAAGTCAATCCATACACTGTATTGTGTTAACCAGTCTCTCAGGGAGTCAGTCCAACTTTCCAATTGACCTCAGCGTCCCTTGCTTTAAATCAACTAAAATTGCAGCTTCTAATCACTGTCAAATTATTCTATGATTCTATCACTGTGTGTGTCTGTGAGAGAGAGCGAGAGAGAGACTGAGTGAGCACGTGACTGTGCTCAGTTATGGTCTCTACTCTAGTGGTCACAAAACCTGCCAACACTCATTGCATAGTAGACAGTAAGAATGGTAACATTGGCAAGAGACCAGAGGACACTGGCCACACATATAACTGAGCAAGAGAGTGCACCACTGAAAAAGAGGTTGGGAGAAAATTGGAAAGAAAAAAAATTTGTTTAAAAGGAAGTCCAACAGTATCAAACTGCCATTTTCGACTCTGCTAGTTCTGACTTCTTGTTACAACTGTAAATGGTATTGATAAGACGAAGCTTCCTATTTTGATCTCCTTCATTAAGGATAAATTTATATTGGAAGCAGTTCAGAGAAGGTTCACATTCTTGGGATGAAGGAGTTGTCATGTGATGAGACTTTATTCAGGCTAAGCCCATATTGATTCTGAGGGGGTTTGACATGGTGGATGTTTCCTTATGGGAAAATCTGAAACAAGGAAATACTGTCTAAAAATTCAGAATTCTCTTCCCCAGACAACAGAGGAGGTTGGGTCATTGAAACATTCAAGACTGAGTTTGATAGATTTTTGATCAAAGGGAGTTAAGGGATATGGTAGTAGGAAGGAAAGTGGTGTTGAAATAGCAAACTGATCATCTGGGATCTTATTGCGTGGCAAAGCAGGCTCGAGGGACCGAATGGCCTCTTCCAGCTCCTGTTTCCTGTTTTGTTTTTGTGCTATGATGCAGGAGCAGGCTTGATGGGCCGAATGACATACCCCTGCTCCTGTATTTTAAAATATTATGATTACTAAGTGCTGTAGGGTAGATCAGAGGATATGGCTTTTTAAACAGATGCTTCCAACACAAAACCTTGCACCAGCAGCAAATATTAAAGCTGTCAAAACAGTGTAAGGCTGCCATCCTTTCTGGGTATCCACCAATGGAATATCTAAACCCATTAGTGGAAATTGCTGTAATTTTGCCAATCGCTGACCTGTGCAGATGTTCCACTGCTATCATCACCTTTCTTCTACAAGGAAAAGATTGAGAGGCTATATCTATCACAAAATCCTGAACAAACTGGGGCTCTTTTCAATCTAATAGTGGCCCAGAGAAGCAGGGGTGAGGTCAGAGAAGTGGAGCCAGGACTGGGGAAAGAAGGCTGGAGAAAAGCGAGTTGCCAGGCTGGACAGCGATAGAGACAGACAGGGCCAGCAGGAGTTGGTGGGTGAGAGAGAGGGGGGAAAGGCTATAGGTCTTTAGGGGGTGAGAGCAAAAGAAGGTGCAGGGGAGGGTAGATTGCAGGGGTCTGTGCAGAAAGAGAGAGATAGAGGTGGCAGGAGCCAATAAGGATAAGAGAGGGGGAAGGCTGCAGGCCCCAGGATGAGGAAGAAAGAGGGAGAAAGAATCTGTAGGGGTAGGGTGGGAGGGCATGAGAGACAGAGATTTCATGGATCATTGGGGGGTGTGGGGAGGCGGGGGTGGTGGAGGGCAGGCTACAGGGATCAGGGAAGAGAGAGATAGAAGCAGCAGATGTCAGTCTGGTAAGAGAGAGGGGCAAGGCTCCTCCAGCTGGGGAGAGAAAGAGATAGAGGGGAGACTTTAGGGCTCGAGGAAGATGGAGCGGAAAGGAGGCTTCAGGGGTCATTGAAAGAAGAGGGAAAGGGGGAGGTGCAGGGTTTGTGGGGATGAAAGAGGGAAGGAGTGTCTGGTGTTGAGATGGGAGAAGCAGGAGTTATTGGGGGAGAGACAGGAAAAGACTGCAGGGATTAGTGAGGGTTAGAGAGAAGAGGTGGCTGCAGCATTGAAGGAGGGGGGCTACATGAGTTGGAAGGTGGGAAGGGAGAGTGTAGCATAGGCTGCAGGGATCAGGGTACAGGAAGAAAGGGAATGGTGGCTGTATGGGTTAGGGGACAGAAAATGGATAGAGGGATGGTGAAAGAGATAGAGGGAGGCTGCAAGGCATGAGAGGAAGGCTGGAGGAGGTAGGAAGTTACACAGAAGCTACAGGAGTAGAGAGAAGGACCTTGCAAGGAAAGTGGAAAGACAGAGGAGGTGGCAGTACTCTGAATGGAAAATCTCTACATTAAGGCTGCATGTGTTGAGGAGCTATGATGTTAGGGAATAGGAATTGTAGCAGATATTATTATTGTGAACACTGTGTTAATTGTTAAATTTAAATTTGAGATTGAGATCTGAGATGTAGTTAGAAGGATAACTGGTTAAAATTTTCCAGCTGTCTATAAATGCAGTGGAAATGTATTAGCTGTGATCTAATCTGTCTGTGATAGGGGTGTGTAAGGTGATGGCTTTTTGTGTGTAGAAGTGTGTCAGTTGTTTTGAAACAAACTTTTGTAGCTAACACTTGCCTATTCTTTCCTGTCAATTTAAATGCTGTGGAGTCTATGAAATTATTGCTTATTGTGGCTTTAAGTTTAATGGAGGCTTGGTAATTATTAAAGCCATTGATGTATTCCTCTAAAAATGCTGCACTATGAGTCCAAATATCCCACGTGTCAACAAACATAGAAGGTGTTGTTACATCTAACTTCATTAGTTAGTATGTATTGGTTGGAATGAAAAATAATTTGGAAATCTTAAGAAGAGCCCTAGAAGAAAACATAAAGAACCCATTTCCAATTCTTAAGAATATGAGTGGAAAAGTTAAAGTTGGGGTGAGGGGACATATAAGATGCGCAGAAATGGGAAAATCACCAGGGCCCATGATTTTCCTTTCTGGCCTTGTGTTTGTGTTTTTATGTATGCATGTGGATGTTCATGTTTGTGGATGTAATTTGAGGTACAGGTGTATGAACATGTTCATGCAAGTGTGACTATGCATGCTTATGTATATATATTTATGTTCATACACCTTGCCAAGAATGGGACAGAGAATGAAGCAAGTCAGGGAACACTGCACAGGAAAGGGGCATAGGCAGAGTGTTGGGAGGTGGGAAGTGGTGGCAGCAAGTGAGTTCCCTAGATTGACAATCTTAGTATTCATCTCTTCCAGTGGAGTGGAGTTACACCGAAACCTTTGAATCTACTGTAGGAGCTGCTACTGTTGAGGATCTGAAGACACTGCAGTATGCAATTGAAGGCCTCAACACGGTTAGTGATGGCAGTATACCTTGTGTTTGGTCTTTCTTTACTTATCAATAGCATTGTTGATACTGAAAGTGTAAATTCCAATTCATAGCCCAAACTGCTGAAGGTCCAACATGACTGTTCCTTGATATCTATTCGCGAGAACTTTGACCTCATAGCTAACTGGTTCTGGTTGTCTGGCTGATATTCTCATTCATATTGTGTTAATGCACAGGGAAAGCTTCATGTTTATAGGTTAGAAGTCAGCATTTCAACCTACAACTCGTTACATCTGTACATATATAGGTATTTGTGTACTTCAAATGTTGCATCATTCACAGTTATTATTTATGCTGGACTAGGTTTTCTGATATATCAGATTTGATGTGTGACACTGAAGAAAAAATGGGCCATATATCTTTCTGATGTGAATCAAAGCTAGATGTGAGGATGAACTATGAGGATGATACAGAGATGTTTCAGTGTGATAAGATGGAGCTAGTTGATTGTGAGGACAAATGCATGACAGATAAGTATAATTTGGACAAATACGAGGTTATCCACTTTGGTAGCAAAAAACAGGAAGGCAGATTATCTGAATGGTGCTGAATCAGGAAAGGAACTTGGGTGACCATGTACACCAGTCACTGCAAGTATGCATGCAGGTGCAGTAGATGATGCAGAAGGTAAATGATATGTTAGCCTTCATAGCGAAAGGATTCGCATACAGGAGCAGAGATGTCTTGCTGCAATTGTATAGGGCCTTGGCGAGGTGTATACACTATCGTGTGTAGTTGGTCTCCATATTTGAGGAAGGATGTTCTGGCTATGGAGGGAGTGCAGTGACATTTAGCAGACTGATTCCTGGGATGGCAGGACTCACATATGAAAAGAGACTGAATCAGTCAGGACTATGTTCACTAGGGTTTAGAAGAATGAAGGGAAGTTTCATAGAAAGCCATAAAATTTTTAACAGGACTAAACAGAGTAAATGCAATAAGAATGTTTCCAATAACCAGGGAGTCCAGAACCAGGAGTTGCAGTTTAGGATACAGGGACTAAGATGAGGAGAAATTTCTTCACTAAGAGACTGGTGAACCAATGCAATTCTCTGCCACAGAAAGTGGTTGAGGCCAAAACATTGAATATTTTCAATAAGGAGATAAATATAGTTCTTAGAGCTAAAGGAATCAAAGGGCATGGGAGAAAGTGGGAAAAGAGTACTGAGTCGGATTATCAGCCATTATTACATTGAAATTCAGAGCAGGCTCGAAGAGCCAAATGGTCTACTCTTACTCCAACTTTTCATGTTTCTATGAATATTATGTGAACATATGCACATTATCCCAATGGCTCGGTTTTGGGTCTGTTGAGTTTAGCTCAATGCCAATATTTTAAAAAAGACAACAGACAAGATAAATCAAATAACAATCAACATACACTCTCAGGGAGGACTGGATACTGGCCAGTAACATGCCAGAACCTGAGGCAATTATTCGGTCAGTCATCCCTCATGGAGGTCCACAGCATTCTCATCGTTTCTACAACCAGTGAGCCACGTCATGAATGGTAAATCCAGCCCCTTTCTCTTGACCAAAAGAGTGAATGTCTAAGGATAGAAAATCCCCTGTAGCATATAATCGAAGGCCAGCAAGAGAGGAAAACAAAGGATGGCAGCTCATCCAGAACTAATGCTCCTGCCTTGTAATTAAACTACTTTATCATCACATAGTTACTGCTTTGTAAAGGTCATAGAAATTATTTCATGTGATTTGGAAATGGCTTTGAACATTCAAGTGTGGGCTTGGGAGGATGATCACAGTGGTGAGGAGAGGCTGTGATTAGCGGAAGAGTAGCCAGAGATTGTGATGAGGTGTCTAATGGTTGGGCTGGAGACAGGAGGTGCTAGGTGAGTGAACATTCCTGCTCCTCATTGCTCACCAGAAATACTCATGCTTCCATTTCACTACCTTGAACAAGCTAACCAGTGTTAAGAACAAAGTGGGTCTCTTCCGACACAGAACACTTTCGCCTCAGACACCACCTCACTCCACCTTCCCTGGGGAAAAAGTGGCAGCCTCATTGGACAGGTATAATGAAATGTCCCAAGGTAATTCATAGTAGCATTTATCAAACAGCATTAGACAGCAAACCACAAAAACAGATATTAGGATTAGCAATATAAAGCTTGACCAAAATGGTAGAGCTTAACTCAGACTTAGCGACTTTAAGGGCATTTAAATGGTCATTGGATAAACATATGGATGATAATGGAATAGTTTAGGTTAGATAGGCTTCAGATTAGTTTCACAGGTCGGCGCAACATCAAGGGCCGAAGGGCCTGTACTGCGCTGTAATGTTCTATGTTCTACAACTTAGGAACGTGAGTAGGCCATTTGGTCCTTCAAGCCTGCTATGACATTTAACAAGACTGTTGCTGATAGGATTCTGATCTCAACTCCACCTTTCTGACTGCCTGCCATAATCATTGAATATCTTGTCTATCAAAAATCCATCCAACTCAGCCTTGAATAATTGAATGACCCAACCTCCAGTGCTTTTCAGGGAAAAGAATTCCACAGGCTGATGTCCTTCTGAAGGAAAAATTTACTCATCATCTCTATCTTAAAAGCGAGACCTCTTAATCTTAAACTCTGTGCCCTACTTTTAGTCTCTCCTACAGGAAAAATATTCATGTCAAGTCCCCTCAGGAATCTACTCTGTTCCAATATGACTACCTCTCATTTTTCTCCAGTGGATACAGACCCAGCCTGTCTAACCTTTCCTCGTAAGATAACACCTTCATCCCATGAATGAGTTGAGTGATCCTCCTCTCAACTGCTTCTAATGCATTATATCCTTTGTCCAATAAAGAGACAAAAAGTGTACACAGTACTTAGGATATGTTCTCAGCAAGGCCCTGTGCAGCTGCAGTAGAAATTCCTTACTTTTGTATTCCATTCCCTTTGTAATAAATGCAAAGCATTCCATTTGCTTTCTTAATCACTTGCTATGTCTGTAAACTAATGCTCTGTGACTCATGCATGAGGGTACAGAGATTGTACTGTACCATCAAGTTCTGTGATGTCACTCCATTTAAATCGTGTCCTGCTTTTCTATTTGTCCCGCCAAAGTAGAAATGTTCACATTTTCCTACATTATATTTGATCTGTCAAATTTTTGACCTCTCGCTTAAACTGTCCATTTCCCTTTACAGATGAGCCAGCGGCCCAGATTCAAGTTCCAGCTGCCTCAGATATGTGTCATAATATAACAACTTGATTTAAATAACTATCCCTTCGTAGACTCTCTACCTCCATTTGACAACTTACTTTCTTGCCTACCTTTGTACAAAGAGAGTCTTAAAGGAGGAGATTGATATAGAAAGGTAGAGCGGATCATAGAGTGAATTCCAAAGATAATGACCCAGGCAACTAAAGCTACAACTGCCAATGGCAGAGCGCTGAAACTCGAGGATGTACTTGAGTTAAGAATTGGACGAATAAAGAAATCTCAGTCGTTGTGGAATCTATCTCTGCTTTCTCTAGCTGATCATTTAGTGAAACACTGTAACTCATCAGATTACTTTATTCCCTGTGAAAGAGATATGAGGCCTCTCTGCACAATGGCTAATGTTATTTCATTAATATTCTTCCCGCCTCTCCTCCTGTTTTCCTCCCTGCAACTGATCTAACTTTGCCCCTAGACTGACCAATCTTCCAATGATAGCCATTAAATTGCACTGGGAATCCAGACAGATTACATTTCTCTTTTCCCCACAGTCACTGAAGCCCAGATTGCAACCCCAAAAATCAGTATTGAAATCAGTAAAACAGAGTCAGAGATGCATAACTTTTATAGTCTTCTGTCTTGTCCTCAGGGAACTCTCTACCACGTGCGTGTTTCGGCTTATAATGTGAAAGGCTGGGGACCAGCAAAGGTATCAACACCTCCCTGTGCTAATCCATCCAGTAAGTGATGCTGATTATTATTGATTAACCTCAAAAAGAAAGATTTGCATTTATAACTCCCCTTTCACATCTTCACGACATTCACTTACAGTTATTGAAACACATTCACTCTTGAAATGTAGGATATACAGCCAATTTGTGCACAGCAAGCTCAGAACTGAGGAAGGGTCACCGGACCCGAAACATTAACTCTGTTTTCTCCTTCACAGATGCTGCCAGACCTGCTGAGCTTTTCCAGCAACTTTGTTCCTGCTCCTGATTTACAGTATCCGCAGTTCTTTCGGTTTTTATTTGGGACATAAGGTTGATGAGCAATGGTATACTGCCTGCACTGGGACAAATTTATATTCTACTGTCTCTTTGTTGTGAAATTATTTTCCTCTTTAAAATTCAGGTGAAGTTTGCAGCTCCCCAGGCAGGAGTGAGGTCAAAAGCTTGAGTACCATGCTAATTGGGAGAGTGCATTCCCAGCACCAACTTGCTTGCCCCACCTGGCCATAATTTTACCAGTGGCTAGGAGGGGTTAGGAAGCCCTCCTGTCCATGGGGCCATCCCATCATGAGTGTCTCAGGGGAGGTCCATGCTGAATATGCAACCCTGCTATTTTCACTGCTAAAATTGGTGGCCAGTCAAGTGGAAAGGTAGGGAACCTCCTCCAAGGGCCTCCTCTGCCTGTTAAAACTCTGCCACCCTCCTCAGAATTCTCAATCTGTGCTTCCACTCCCATCTAGTCAATCCCAACCTGACCCAAATCCCCAGCACTGCCACTACCAGAGCCTGTCAGGCTGGCATTGGTGAGACTCAGTACAGGCCTTCAAGTTGGTTCCTTCAGCATGAATGGGAGAAGAAAGCCTGCCTCACGCTAGCGAACCACTAATGGTGGTTGAAAGGGGTGCCGGGTGAGCCTGCATAAATGATACAGTCTCACTTCAACCTTTACAGTGGAATCCACAGCCCCTCTGGTACAATCCAGGCCCAGGTCCTGTAAACATAGCAGCCCCCTGGGATCAGTCATCAGGGTAGCAAGGAAAGTAGAGGCCACAATCAGATCAGCCATGATCATATCAAATGATGGAGCACGCTCAAGGGGCTGAATGACTTACTCCAGGTCCTAATTTGTATACTCATCTGTATGTTTGTATCTCACTACAGTGGCACTTCCCATGAATGAGTCCAGGCAATGAGTTTAACGATTTATTTGTGGAGTCACTCTTACTTTCACCTGATTTCCATATGATTGTATTTTCCTGCCAGGGATAGTGATCTGAGTGGGGAGCTGGCATTTCTGTTTAAGACCCCAGTTTGAAGGCTGTCCAGTTGCCCAAAGGAGCTGTCAAAAATTTCATCCCGTGCATCCGTTCCTCTAAACACAGTTAGGGTTCAGCAATAATTGTTGGTCTGCTATGGTACACATGAGTGCTTTGTATTAGAAATGTTTAGTAGGTTGTCAAGACAAGGGAGACTTTGTTTGCTTCTACCCATACTGTTGCTGACATTTGATGTTGACACCAGTGCCAATGGTACAACATTGACTTCTGTCAAACAGAAACAAAATCTATCAATTTGAAGAAGCATTATGGAAGTGGATGTAAGTTATGATATAGAAGCTGTTTTATGGAATCAGCAACCCATTATGGGGAGATGAAAATCAGGAGTGTTGTCTAATGGACAGCAAATGTGTCATCCCCTGTTTTATACTGTCGCCCCTATCTATCCTAAAACCTGTGAAGAAACTTTGTTACTCAGGAGAATTGCGAATGTTTAAACATGGCCTGTGATCAATGTGCAGGTTGGAAGGAATGTGCTGATGTTAAATTGAGGCAGAAGGACCAAAGCCAAGCAGTGCAGAAACTTCTGGAGCAGATAAAGGCTCCTCATCATCGGAGCTTCTTCTTAGGTGAGTCCATATGTGAATCTAAACTTCATTCATAGTCATGGCCTAAACCACCTACACCAAAACAAAAATGTCATCAGTTGGGTCAGATATCCAGGTCTGGGTATGAATTTTTCTTCTTATTCATTCACAGATATGGACATTGCTAGCTAGGCCTGCATTCATTGCCCAGCCTTTATTGCCTGGAGGGCAGTTAAGAGTCAAGAACATTGTTGTGAATCAGCGGTCTCATGTAGGCCAGACCACACAATGATGGCAGATTTCCTTCATTGGGCATTGCTGAACCAGATGGGTTTTTCATGACGATTGACAAAGATTTTATGGTCAACATTGGACTTGTAATTCCAGATTTTTATTGAATTCAAATGCCACCATCTGCCATGTTAGACTTCAAACCCAGGTTCATAGAACATTACCTGGGTCTTTTGGTTGAGTCTAGTGATAAAACTGCAAGGCTATCTGTGGCTCAGGTGGCTGAATGGATGTCATGTGGTACTATATAAAACCTTTGCACAGCTGCAGCCACGTGCAGTTGGAGCTCAATGTTCCTGCCGAAAACTATGCTCTTCCATCCTAGGATTGACAATTATTTGACAAGTACACTGTCTTATGTGGCTTTATCAAGGAAGCTCCTATGTATGACCTCCCTGAGCTGTATGAGTTGATCAACAGCCAGATACAAAATTGGAATGGTCCCCTGTGAGAAATGATGTCCATCAAAGACTGACCAATATCGTATACGCTATATCTGTCACAGCAATGCAGAGGTTACATGATTTTCCAAATGTGCAATAAGTTTATTTACAAGGGATTCTAAAAGATATCTGCAACCGTTTTGCAGGTCAGCTTCTAATAGTTTCAGTGATTACTCTGATGCCACACCCAGACTTAACTAGTCAAGCACAATGAGTATGGATCAATTACCAGGATGTCATGAATGAATAGATAGATAGGCAAACTGACATATAGATAGATACGACGTTTGCACTGGACCATTGCCCCAGTCGCATCTTCCAGAGATGGCAACACTGACCTTTCAGAGGGGCCGTTTTGCATGTATTATCTGGCTGCTTATCTGTTCATTAGAAAGTTTTGATAAGTCTCATAACCTAAAGCCTAAATGTAATTCTAAGTGACTGATGTAGGTTGAAGTTCTGATTTGTGATGCACAACCATTACTAAAACAAATGACTGTCATAATCAAACACAAGAGAACAGTTGAGCACTACAAAAAGTGCTGGCCCACAGAGTCGACGATATTACTGACACAGATTGCCATTTTTAATTCTTTTTTTCTTTCATGACACACGAGAATCACTGACAAGACCAGCATTTGTTGTTGGTCCCTAATTGTCTTTGAACTGAATGGCTTGATAGGTCATTTTAGAGCTGTTAAGGGTCAACAATAATGCTGTTGGTCTGGAGTCACATGTAGACCAGACAATGTCAGAACAGAAAATTTCCCCGTCCCCCCGCCAAAAACAAGAAAAGAAGTACAACATTTAAAGGGACCTCATAGCCATCAAAGCTCAATCTGAGTTCCATGTCTGCTATTGCTGTCTTGACCCCAAAATCTCATCCCATGACCCTACTGGGGCAAGAAATCCTTGTCCAGCTAGCACCTCCCATACACCATGAGTGAATTTAAAAGTCCACCATTCAGGAGCCCCCTGGTTAGGAGTAAACCCCTCTTCCGGCAGTCTTGTTTTCAATCTCATATACTTCCATAGTAATAAAAGTAAAATACTGACGGAAATCCGAAATTAAAGCAAAGGGCTGGAAATATTGAGCAGTTCTCGCTGTATCTATGGAGAGAGAAAAGGAAATAAGATTTCAAGTAAGTATGACTCTTCTTTAGAGCTGCAGGGAGGTAGAAATGTGATGGATTTTATGCAGTCAAATTGGAGAAGAGGGTAAGAATAAAGTGGAAACTCTTGAATAAGGTAGAGGTAGGGAATCAAAGATGTCATGGAACAAAAGGCAGAAAGAATGGTAATGTTTGTACCAAAGAGACAAAACAATGGACCAGGGTGAGTGTTAATAGCACAATAATGAACAGTATTACTTCCAGGTTCTTTTTGAAGAGATTGGCCTGCTGTGGGCCATCTTTGGCCATGTTGCCTGAGTTCTGACCATAAAGCCCAGGCTAAACCTCCACATTATCTTCTACAGAAACCTGCACAGTTCACACACCTAGTAAGAAGCTCTCAGTCTCTCGCAGCCTGAAGTACCTCTTTCAAAACACAAGCAAGTTTGTCAAGACCCTGCAGAGGTGAGTCTGGCCACTGTACCCAAGCTAACGCATTGTCTTTGTGAATTTCCTTGAGGAAAATGATAAACGTGCGGGGTGTGTAATGGGATAAATAGCATGAAAAGCTTAGGAGGTAATGACAGTGGGAAGAATGAGGCTAGAGTTTGAGGCTTCAGGTGTATATGTGTGTAGCACAACAGGAGTTTTAGTTACCAACCACAATCAGTTTGAAAGAGAAAGCAATAGATAAAGCGCAGGACAAAAGCATTTTCTTCTAACGTACAGTATCACTAATTCTATTCTGTGAATTTTGCTGAGTGTGAGCTGGATTGAAATTCACCTGAGCTCATTTTACAGGGAGACTCTTGCAGGCGAGCAGAGAGAGATAAGGGTTTTGCATCCTGTCGGTCTGAAATGGATTGAAAGCCAGCTACCAGAAATAAATGTGGTAACTTTAACCTTAACTGACAGGATCAGGTGTGACACTAGTTTCCTATCTCTGAATGGAAAGGAATATTTTGAGGAATGTAAAATCCCGCTCCCCCTGGGTTTCTCATGAGTGGAGTTTTAAAATGACCCCAAGTGTTCACTCATTGATTGTTTTCAAGATGGAGATTGATTGATTTTTCCACATGAAGGGAATCCACGATTGCACGGATTAGATGGGAAAGTGCTTTTGAGGTAGAAGGTCAGTCGTGATTATGTTACACAGATAAGCAAACTTGAGAGGGTCAATGGCTAAACCCTCCTTCTATTTCTTCTGTACTTCTGTTCTGAACACACTCTGGGAAGGTATTTGCATAGTGCTGCTTCTGCTAAACAGACTTGCATTCAACTGGATTAGCAGTGCCATGGATCATTAGTGTACTTTCTGAGGTCAGCTCCATAAATATGGAGGTGAAATTTCTACAAAATCAACAATGATGGACTGAGCACTGTGCTGGGATGGCAAAAAACCATCTTCCCTTCTGGGTTCTATTTTCTCAACTCTCAAATGTCCAGGGTTCCAGGGGAGGAGGACAAAAACACTTCAACAACACTCTGAAACTGTCCTTGAACTGCAGCCCCATTGACCTCAATGATTGGGAAGAGCTTGCTACCAATCGTTCAAAATAGTGACAATTTGTCCAGTGAGCTTAGAGTCCAAAGTCCTTAAAGAGGATGGAGAATGGCAGCAGAAGAAAAGGAAGCATATCGAACATGCTGAATCTCACATCGTTGTGGAATATCCTCTCTCATGTTCCCAAAGATCTGTGGGTCAGGAATTGGCCTGCCCAGTCGCATAGAGACCCACAGCAGAGACCCAGGATCCTAAGCAGACATCATTCTCCAGTAAGAGGACAGCTGCCAGCAGGTAGCTACCTGTGGAACAGCACACCATTCCTCACTGATATCAACTACAGGTATACAGCGCTTCCTGACCTCCCTCCCCACCCCACTCATCTCCACCTGCGCTCACCCCCTCCCACCGCCAACATCACACCATCAGGGAAAGGACATAAACTAAGAGTGACACATAATTAATTTCTCCCCCTGTCCCACACCATTTTATGGACAACTATGGCTTCTTAATGAATTGTGAGGGGGTGGATTTTCAACTTGATGCCTGCCGCAGATCAGCTGCCTCATCTCGAAACTGAACAAGTTTATTTCCACAAACATCTGTCAGCCAGTAACTAGGGCAGTTTCTATGACAGACGTTGAGTGACAAACTGAAAATCTGCCTATGCCCAGGGGTTGAAGCTGGCACTTTCAGTCCATGCATCTGAGCTACTCACTGGAACACTTCATTGGGGCTGAAACTGAATGTTGCAGGCCTGCTGGTGTGAACTGGATTTGGGTACAGGTAGGCAAACCCAGTATTGGACTTCTTTTAAACATAGAAAATAGAAGCAGGTCATAGCTGATCCTGTATCCAACACCCTCTTCCCATATCCCTAGACTCCTTTGGTGCTTAGAAATCTATTTATTTCTTTCTTAAATATATTCAGTGACTTGGCCTCCAGAGCTTTCTGAGTGAAAAATTTTTTCTTCCACTCAGAGCCAACTGACCTTCTACATGTACTGAGGCTGTGACCCATTGCAGAATCCCACTCCTGCCAAGAGGGATGGTATCCCTGCATCCAGTCTATCCAACCTTGTCAGAATTTTATGTTTCAATGAGATTCCCTTGTACTTAATGAAACTCCAATTAATACAGATCCAGTTGAGATTGCAGAGGTCGTGGGAATGCATGGTAAAATAGGGCTGAGTCAGCATGGCTACATCAAGGAGAGGTCATGCCTGACAAATCTGTTAGAATTCTTTGAGGAGGTAACAAGCAAGTTACACAAAGGAGAGCCAATGGATGCAATCTATTTGGATTTCCAGAAGCCATTTGACAAGGTGCCGCACAGGAGGCGACTAGGTAAGAGTCCCTGGTGTTAGGGGCAAGGTACTGGCATGCGTGGAGGATCGGCTGACTGGCAGAAGGCTGAGAGTGGGGATAAAGGGATCTTTTTCAAGATGGCAGCCAGAAATTCCCCGGGGTCAGTGTTGGAACCACAACTATTCACATTATACATTAATAGTCTGGACAAAGGCATTGTTGCAAAGTTTGCAGGTGACACAAAGATAAATGGAGGGACAGGCGGCGTTGAGGAAGTGAGTAGGCTGTAGAAAGACTTGGACAGGCTAGGAAAGTGGCAATGAATTGGCAGATGGAATGCAATGTGGAAAAGTATGAGGTTATGGACTTTGGTAGGAAGAATAGACTATCTACTGAATGGGGAAGAGCTTTGGAAATCTGAAGCCATAATTCAGAATTCTTTTAAGGTTAACGTGTAGGTTCCGTTGGCAATTAGGAAGGCAAAAGCAATGTAAGCAATCATTTCAAGAGGGCTAGAATACAAGAGCAGAGACGTAATGCTGAGGCTGTGTAAGACACATTTGGAATATTTGTGAGCAGTTTTGGGCCCTGTATCTAAGGAAAGATGTGCCGGTGTTGGACGGGATCCAGAGGAAGTTTACAAGAATGATCTCCGGGATGAAGAGCATGTCCAATGAGGAGTGGTTGAGGAATCTGGGTTTGTACTCGAAATTTAAAAGGATGACGGGGGATCTCATTGAAACTTACAAAATACTGAGAGGCCTGGCCTGGATGTAGAGAGATTAGGACCCGAGGACACAGCCTCAGAAAGAAGGGATGACTCTTTAGAATTGAGATGAGGAGGAATTTATTCAGCCAGAGGGTGGTTAATCTATGGAACTCATTGCCACAGAAGGCTGTGGAGGCCATGTCATTGAGTGTATTTAAGACAGAGATAGATAGATTCTTAATTAGTAAGGGGATCAAGGGCTGTGGAGAAAAGGCAGGAGAATGGGATTGAAAAACATCTCAGCCATGACTGAATGGCAGAACAGTCTCAGTGAGTTGAAAGGCCTAATTCTGCTTGCATATCTTATGGTATAATGGTTTTATGATCTGATCTCTCCTCAAAAGACAATGCTGCCACCCCACAATCATTCTGGCGAGCCTGTGAAACAAACCATCTGCTTTCTATGAATCCTCTGGCAATGGGCCTTAAATAGTATGTAAATTGAGTAGCATACTTCAGGGGTGGGGGATTGCTGGTGTAGGGAGGGGGAATCGAGAGGCAGAAGGGTGCTTAGGAGAGAGAAGGGCTATGACATTCAGCGATAAGCAATCAAAAGTGTGGAACTGGACAGGGAAGGGAAAATTGGGAGATAGAAATTGAAGAGCAATCATGACTGTAGAACCGTTAGCAGAAAGTGGCATGAAGGAAAGGATGATGATAAGACCAGAAGGTGTAGAGAAGTAGGGGATTTTCAAGGGATGGTGACAGAGAGAGGAAGTTGAGGAAGAGAAAAATTAGGAGGTGGACGTGAGGAACAATTGGGTGGGAAGGGGCGATTTGAGTTTGAGCGAGCGAACAGGAGGATGTCAGTGGAAAGGGGCCATGATGTTGTTATCGAATAGGCTGAGACGAAATGGAACTAGGGAACATGTGATACCAAATGTTAGTTAAGGGATCATAGGGTGAGCGCTTGACCAGAGTTATACGTAAATATCAGGAGGAAATAATTGGTGGTACTGACGTTTGTGGTGTGTGATCTAGAAATAATACTTTGACTGGAAAAGTATATGCCTGCACTCAGCCTACCCAGCTCATTAGCCTCAAGTGTTTAACTATTTAAATTTACTGCTGTAAATTTGTCAGGAAATTCCTGCTGCTCTTGGCTTCGCTTTCGGATACATATTAGTTTACTTTCTACTTTTACAACGGACAGTGATAAAAGGTTTGACATCTCGGTTCTGAAATGCAAGTAAGTGGACAAATATCCCACCACTTGGTGCTTGTGCATCTATTCTGCACCTGTAAGACAGAGAGCAATAAATTCTGGGATTACCCAGTCAAAGGAGATTCAATCTCACCTTTTAAAAACTCAGAACAGCCTGCCTGTGTTTGCTGTGGCTCTGACATTAATAGACACCGTTTTTTAACGCCTTGTCTTTGTTTGTTTAGGGGTGTATATTTAGCTGCCATTTTTTTCTACAAGGAAAACATCCTGGTCACAAATGAGGATCAAATCCCTATCGTCGAGATCGACAGCTCCTGTTCTGGCTCTGACATGCAGGAATTCCTCTGGTTTTCGAAGGTACGAAGCTGCTTTCTGATGTACTATACATGGTCAGCAGCCCCTGTCAATGTATCAGTGCTGGAGCATTGTTATCAAATTATTCATTCAAAGGATTTGTGAGTCACTGGCAAAGTCAAAATTTGTTGCCCAGACATTGAGAGCAATTAAGAGTCTGGAGTCACGTATAGGCCAAACAAAGTAAAGAAGACAGATTTTCTTCACAAAAGGACATTAGTGAACCAAATGATTTGTCATGACAATTGATGATGGTTTTGAGGTTATCATTTCTGAGACTAGCTTTCAGTTCTATATTTCCTTTACATCATTTGAATTTGTGAATTAAATTTAGGGATGGGACTTGAACTCATGTCCCCTGAGTATTACTAGTCCAGTGATACTGAATAGAGTACAGAGCTTGTGGACAGCCTAGTTCAGCCTCAGGCAATAGCTTTGATCAAGAATGGTGCCAATAACTGGGGAACGGAGTTGTAGCAGAGTCTGAAGACTACAATTGTATTTTCCCAATATTTAATTGGAGGATTTGTTGTGACTTCTCTCCAGCTTTCCTGTATGTGGAAGGACATCCAGTGGTTGCAGCAGGGAATGAACTCAGCACTCTCCTCCTCCTCGTCAGTGCTCCAAACCAGGCAGAAGATGTTGTTAGCAGTGTCCCAACTCCAGGTATGAAGTTGTTTATGATCTCAGCACTAGGATCTCATTTCATTAAATTTTCTGACTATTTTATCTACACGAATTGCTGAAAAGAGAAGAATATTGCTGAACCTTTTCATCTTGCACTCATCGGGACAATTGCAGAAATACCAAATTTCAAATATCACCGCAATTTATACTACAGGAAAATCAACTCCAATTAGCCAAGGCATTGCCGTAGGAGAAAGTAACAAGGAACTATAACCTCCCAAATCTTGCGGTAATTCAAATATTTTGAACAACAATTCAAGAAACTTTTCCTCGTCTTATTTTTAAAATATTGGTCCTTTATCTTTCATCCTAGCTTCCCCAGCTAGACATCTACTTACTGTCTATCTCATCAAGACCCTTCAGAATCTTGTATTTTCCGATCAGATCACTTCTCAGTCTTCTGAATCCCAGAGAATGTAGACACAATTTACTCAACTCTCATCGTAGGACAACCATCTCACCCAGGAACCAATTGAGAGAATTATCTATGCTACCTCTTAAATATGGAGAGCAAGACATGACACAATATTCTAGGCATGATCTCACCAAATCCCTGTAAATTGCAGCAAATGTCCAAATTCTTGTATTCCAAACCACTTGCAATAAAGGACAATATAGTATTCATCTTCCTGAATATTTGCATGCTAACTTTCTATGTTCCATTTATGAGTACACCCAAGTTTCTGTAAACGTCAACATTTATAAGATTTGCATCTTCTTAAAATATCTGTATTTATGTTCTTAAGACCAAACTGAATAATTTCACACATCCCTACAGTGAACCCCATTTGCCAATTACTTATCCTCTGCCTGTCTGTTTGCAACCCTTTTATGTCCTTGTCACAGTTTACAATTCTACATAACTTTGTAACAACAGCAAACTTGGATGCAATCCCCTTCGATCTCTTCATCTAAGTCATCAATCTAGATTGTAATTAGCAAGGCCGCAGACTGATCATTGTGCCAATCCACCTGCTATGACCTTTCAATTTTAAAATGCCTTTTATCCTAACTTTCTGCCTTTAGTCAATTAACCAATCCTCATCAATGCTAATATTATCTCCATCTCCATGAGTTCTTATCTTAACCTGTCCATAGCTCTTTGCAGCCAGTTTGTGTTGTCTTTAAGAAGCTTGGTGAAAAAATCTAGGCATACAATATAAGCGGAGGTGTAACAGAAATCAAGGAGATGAAGCAAATGGGTTTTCATTGGATCCACAAATTAGTGCTGGATTCACTGTTGTTTTCAGTGTGAATGAAAGATTTGGATATTAAGAACACAGTCTCAAAATTTAATATGAAAATAGGTTTAAGAAATGAAAGGGCTGTAATGGAGTTGAGGAAGACACTGACAGATTAGTGCAATGGGCTCATTGGTATCAGATACAAGTTAATTTGGAGGAGTATGAAGTAATACATTTTCAGAGGAGGAAGAAATGTGTAGATGTAATGGGAAGACCTACTAGGTGTTGATAATTTAAGAATCTTAATTCATTGGCCTGGATTTCTCTGTCAACAACAGAATGGTTGCACTCACTGGTGACCTCAAAGATCTGGCAATTGACTCAGTGTAGATTTCGCTTTTCCTTTGATTTTAGTATCTGTTCAAGGGCATCTCCCGTGTCCAGAAACAGTGATGCCATCAAGTTGGCTAAGCAATTAATAGCGTTGATGGATTCTCACAGACAACAAGCCAGGAAGTACAATTACATTGTCATGAATGAAATAAACATTGAAGAATATAAGGCTGCTTTCAGTTAAAAGGATTGGGAATTAATTTTCTTTTTACTTGGGGAAAAGCCCCCATAGCTTGGAAAGCATTTGTTTCAGTTTACAGAAATCCTGCTAGAAGTTGGATAAATGGAATAGTTTCTGTAAGAGAAAGAAGTCAGCTCCTAAAGGTTTGAAAATGGGTTACCTTGGTGTAAGGGTTTTGGTGCGAAAGTTTCAGACCAGAAGTGTTTGATTAGAACCTCGAAGGAGTTATTTGAAGTTGAGAAAGTCTAAGGTCAGTTGTGTGAATACTTAAATAAGAGGCTATCAGACTCACAAGACCAGGAATTGGGTTAAGTCAGTTTTTTCAGATGTGGTAGAGAAGAGAATTCTCTCTATTGTTTGAGTACTGTAAAGGAATGTTGTTGGGGTAGATGGAATATTGTAATTTTACTGTGCTTCAAAATCTTTTAAATTGTGTTATACGTTAATTGTTTAGTTTATTCTATATTATCTTTTCTTTCGCGTAATAAAATTCTGTTTTACTATTAAAACCAAATCTGAGCACAGCAGCTTATTTTAGCGAAAGACCACGTCATTAATTTTTTAAAAACATGATCTATCAAGGCAAATTTCAGTCTGGGTACTGACTTGTCCAGTAATTATATCAGCTAGGTCTTAACAAAAGATTTACAATTCTGAAGAATCCCAGCAGAGCAGACGAAGGAACAAGCATAATTAAGAAAGATTTCTACAAATATTTTGGAGAGTTTTGATAAATGTGAACAAAGGAATAAATTATTGCTTCTGGTTGGAGAGTCAATGAATATTTAAGATAATCACTGAATTACACACAAAGGGTTGGAGTTCTTTGCCGCAGGCAATGGTGAAGTTAGAGACTATTGCAACTCTTGAAGGAAAATTGAATAAATGTTTGAGGCACAGGCAGATAAGCCGATGTGGAGAGAATGGGACAATGACATTGGTTTTCTTAAAAGAAAAAAAAAGCTGCAGATGCTAGAAATCTGAAATAAACCTGAAAATGCTGGAGAGTCTCAACAGGTCTGGCAGCATTTTTGGAAAGGTGAAAAACAGTTAATATTTCGAGTTCAGTACAACCCTTCTGCAGAACTTTAAGGGCTGAAAATGATGTTTTATTTGTTGACAGAGGGGGTAAGGAGTGAGGGGAACAAATGGTGAGGGTGCCCAGCACTAATGGTGGTAAAAGAGGGGTACAGCTGTAAAATAGGCATAAATAAAGGTGTGAAAAGGAGTAAATAAGTCTCCTATGCTAATAGCAAAGTCAACAACACACAGCAGAGAATGGGGGAATGCGGTCAGATTGGAGGCCAGACGTCATGATCTGAAGTTGGTGAACTCAATGTGAAACTTAAAGGCTGTAAAGTACCTAAGCCAAAAATGAGGTGTTGTTCCTCTTGTATTGAGCTTTGTTGGAATACTGTCGCAGGTTCAGGTCAGAAAAGTTAGAATGAGAGCTAGGTGATGTATTGAAATGGCAAGCAACTGGAAGGTCAGGGTAATTATTAAGGACAGAATGGAGGTGTTCCACTGAGCAGTGACCCAGTCTGCATCTGGTCTTGTAAATGCAAAGAAGACCACATTGTGAATAGTGAATGCAGTAAACTGGAGTGAAAGAAGTACAAGTAACATGCTGCTTCACCTGGAAGATGTTTGGGACATTGAACAGGGAGGAGGTGAAAGGGCAAGTGTTACACCTTCTGTGGTTGCATGGGAACGTCCCTTAGGTGGCTGGAAAATGGGGGGCATTAGGAATGATGGTGGAATGGTCCAAGGTGGCACGGAAAGAACGCTCCCTCCGAAATGGAATTGGTTTTACATCAGTGTAACAAGCAGACAGAACACAACTCAAAATTGGATTAAAAATCCCTATCTATGCTGGCATTGCCTATGATTCAGCTTCAGATTGAATGCACAGCCTGCAATCTACACATCACAAGTGTTCAGATGATTGCTGACACTGTTCAGAATGCTAACTTGTAGTGCCACAAGGTGTCACCTAATGGTACTGCAGCTATTCTGTCACACAGCAATCTCCTAAACCCATAAATCAATTTTCCTTTAACTATCACTACATTCCTTTAACAATCACTACATTCCACAACCTATAGGTAGATAATTACCCCTGAGGGATATTAGGTGACTCTCTGTTAAGGAAAGTGAAAGACAATTGGTTATACAGTTTCTGATGAAGTGTCTAGGCCCGAAACGTCAGCCTTCCTGCTCCTCAGATGCTGCTTCGCCTGCTGTGTTCATCCAGCTCTACACCTTGTTATCTCAGATTCTCCAGCATCTGCAGTTCCTACTATCTCTGGTTATACAGTTTGAAGGGCATTGCTCACATCAGGCATTTACAACCCCTAGTGGCCTCCTTTGATCCTCCTAATGATCCACTGTGCTTCCAATTTTAGTACTTGCCTCAGTCCTATGGTGCAGTGGGTGGCACACTGCCTGTGAACCAGAAGCTCCAGGTTCAAGACCCACTTCAGAACTTGTTGGCCACAGAAGCGTATTTATAACAGCCAAACAGGTTGAGTATCAGCTGGCAATTCCTTCCAGTATACACCAATGCAGGTGATAAGAGAGGGAGCAACCTGTGGTCAGCCAGGAGGTAGAAAGGAATTGGAGGTAAAAGTGCATGTTGCCATAGCAGCCCAGACTCTCCCAGGGAGCTGTAACACTCTAGATCACCGCAAACTTGATCAGTCTTCAAGGATGGGATATGGGTTTGTGGTTTGATTCTAAGTTATGGAGTTCTTGTTCTCAGCCATTGTCTATGAGCCAGGGAATTCATCTCACAGTTCTGACCAGCAGGGACTGAAGTTTTGGTTGCCAAATCTGCTGATAACACAAAGATTTTAAAGGAAATAAAGTTGTTAAGAACACATGAGGTTACTTCAGAGGGATTTAGGTAGTCAGTGGACAATATGATAAATGAGTTTAATGTGGCAGGATGTGAAATTGTCCATTTTGGCATGAAGAATTTGCAAAAGCATGTTATTTAAATGGTGGAAGATAACTGAGCTCCGAAATGCAGGGAGGGTCTAGACACTGTTACTGTATTAATTACAAAACCATAATATGTAGGAAAGCAAATATTTGGAAAAGCTCATAGATGTTATTACTTATTGTGAGAGGGATTGAATACAAAAGTAGGGAGGTTATGTTTCGTAATATTGGGTTGGTGAGATCGCATCTTGGAGTACCGTGTATAGTATTTGTCACTTTATTTAAGAAAGGATGTAAATGCATTGGAAACTGTTCAGAGAAGGTTTATCTGTCTAATACCTGGAATGGGTGAGTTGCCTTAATAAGGAAAGGTTGGACAGCTCAGTTTGTATCCGCTAGAGTTTAGGAGAGTACAAGGTGTTGAACCTGAGGGTGGATGTGGAAAGGATGTGACCACTTGTGGGAGAATCTAGAAATATGGTTCACTGTTTCAATATAAGAGATCGCTCATTTAAGTCAGAGAAGAGGAGGGTATTCTTCTCATAGAAGGTCATGCATTCTGAAAAGGTAGTGGTAGTGGAAATATTTTAAGGCGTAGGTCAATAGATCCTTGAAATGCAAGGTGATAAAAGGTTAATAGGAATAGATGGGATAATGGAGTAATCAGATTAGCCATGATTTTATTGTACAACAGAGCAGGTTTGAGAGGCTGAGATAACAAGGTGTAGAGCTGGATGAACACAGCAGGCCAAGCAGCATCAGAGGAGCAGGAAGGCTGACGTTTCGGGCCTAGGCCCTTCTTCAGAAAGGCTGAGTGGTCTACTCCTAATTCCTATGTTCATGTTGGAGGGGAGTTTAAGTTGTACAATTCCTGTTCTCCAGAGTGCGTTGGGAACACAAGACCTGGGCCAGGTACACTTTGAACCAATCAAGGACAAACTTGGGAATGTTTTGATCCTAACCATCAAGGAGCTGCGGCCATCCCAGGTGCTGGAGAATGTCCGATGGATTGCGCTTTCAAAGCTTCATAACTATCGGAAATCTGTCTCTGCTTTCGAGAGCTTCACTGCCCTGGACATGCTCTTCATGACTTTGAAGGTAAGATCTTCTCTTTTAAAAGGATGTTAAGATGAGTAAATCTTGCCCACAGTTTTGTTACATCCCTCATTGCTTTTGCTTCATAATCCTTATTATCTTCTCACTTAACCCCTCATTCCCCAGACCTATTTCAGCATCCCTGAACCCTACAGGCAATTTGGTATGTCCAATCCACCTAGCCTGCACATCTTTGGACTGTGGGAGAAAACCAGAGCACCTGGAGGAAACCCATGCAGGCATGGGGAGAACGTGCAAACTCCACACAGGCAGTTGCCCAAGGGTGGAATCAAACCCGGGTCCCTGGTGCTGTGAGGCAGCAGTGCTAACCACTGAGCCACTGTGCTGCCCCAAATGTTTCACATTTCACTAAGTGATTTAAAATTCCTCCAACTGCTGTGGTGGGATTTGAACCTGAGTCCTCAGAGCATTAATCTGGATTGCTGGATCACAAGTCCAGTGACATTACCAGTACACTGTTGTCGCTCCTCTCGTTGCCTTCTAACCCACCCATGGCTCACTGAACCCAACACGCCTAAGGCTCCTTCTGCGCTAGCCCTGAAACTGGGTCTCCTTCTTTGTCTCTCTACTGTACTTTCCTTTCCCTTTAACCATCTTCTGACTGTGTCCTGGCTATGAGATGTACATTCTGCCCCCTTGCGCTCTTTCTCATTAAACTACTGAGCACCCAATGTCTTATCCTGGGTCTCATGATAATCCATTGTCTTGTCATACAAAGCATGCCCCTTTCCTTTTCAAAACCATCACTATTGCTCCACCTTTAAATCCGGTTTGTTGGAATGCATAGGATGAGAGGATCTCTTGTTTATTTGTTAACAAGAAAAGAAACCTCTTTGACCCTTTTATTTTTCTTCTTCAGGATAAACTCGATTATCACCTGAGAGTCAACCAGGCCTTACCTCCAGGCCTCTACCTCGGTTATCTAAAGCTCTGCAGCTCTGTGGATCAGATTAAAGTGCTCGTCCCTTACAGGGTGCCCAATGTGCTCTGTCACACCAAGATACGGGACAACAAGAACGTATCCAGGTAATAGAAAATAATCAGGATTTTCCTCTTTATATTCTCAAGCTCTTCAAACTCGCCCTCTCTTTTCCTAATTCCACTTTGTTTTCTCTAGACTTTATCCCACAATGAGTCTGATCCTCATGCTCCCAGCTCAATTACCTCTCTCACCCAATGGCCCCCATCCCTCTCCTTGTAAGCTCGTGTCTATTGTCCAAATGGTGTTTCCCACCCAAGATTCCAGCCTAAGGTTACCAACTGATCTGGAGACTCCAGGAACTGAAGAAAATCTGGACAGCACTCCCTGCAGCCAGAATCCATTAATGGGCTAATAGAGAGTGATACTTGTTTGGGATTGGTCTGAATGGATGGACATGTTAAGTAACCAATTTTGGGAGCACCTGGGGACAGAGTGGTTAGCAGACAGGAGGGTCATGTTATATTACCTCCAGGAATACAACCAGCCGCAGCAAAAATCGCCTCAGTGACTTGGGCACCTTCCGGCTGATGGATTTCTGCTTCCAGACGGGAAGAGCTCCTAGTGTTCGTGATATGTGAAACTAGAGGCTTTTTGGTCTGTTATGTAAGACCTGTGAGATTTGAAAATCTGCTTTAAGACTGCTTTAAGTTAAATTACAAGGATAAGGCAAAGGACCATAGTTTCAACCCAGTAAAAGGAAGGGCTGACATGAGAAAGATCTTCATTCAAAATGAACTAACATGTGGAAAAGAGTCACAGATGTAGTGATGGAGGAAAATTCCCTGGAATAATTTAAGGGACAATGGATCTTACACTTGGGGATATTTTTGTCACTTTAGACAAATGAGCCAAGATGGACCTAATGACTTTCCCCAGTCTTTATCTTGTTCTGTTGTTTGGATTGTCAATGATATCTGTTCATATTGTGAGGTGACAGTGATATCGTGGCTAGTCATCCATTTGCCTCGGCTAATGTTCAAGGAAATACTAGTTCAAATCCCACTGTGGTAGCGGGTACAATTTAAGTTCAATTAGCATCCTGAAATTCAAAGGTGATCTCAGTAATGGTAACCATGACAGCTATTACCAATTATTGTATAAGTTCCTCTGGTTCACTAATGTTCTTTAGGGAAGGAAATTTGCTGTCCTTACTTAGTCTGGCCTACATGTGATTCCAGACCCCCAATCAATGTCATTGACTCTTCACTACCCTCTAAAATAGATGAACAAGCCATTCAGTTCAAGGGTGGTTAGGATTGGGCCACAAATGTTGGCCTTGCTAGCTATGTCCATATCCACATAAAGAAGAAAGATCCCCACTGATCTTTTTGTAAATGTTATCTGTTAACTCACAGGTTGAACTTTGACAGACACTCCTCTTAACATTGTTTAATGCTGTCATAAAGTAATGTATCTGTGTCTGCCCTCAGTCAAGCCCACAGACTGTCACTCCCTGCTGATCTTCTCCTTCCCACTGTTGTTACAGACGTGCCATCTCTGTACACTGTGTGAGCTGCTGCTAATGGTGAAGATACTGCCACCTTTTCAAAGCAGAAAACTACAGGGCCTGCTTGTTTTAATGTGTTAGAGGATAACCACCGCCTGGTCTAACTGGAAGACTGTTGTGTAATTAACAAGATGTAGTTTATTGCATATCAGCAATTAGTTACAGATTACATTGATACTATGGACACTTGTTACAGAGATCTTGACGAAAACCAGATATTAGGTTTTAACCTGTGAGATCCTAAGTTGTGCTGCCCAAAATTTCATATGACATCATCATAGTGAGTGTTGCCTATGGCATTCCTCATTATTCACCCTCTCAGACCTATATATAACACCAGTCACCAGCCAAAGTAACTCCAGACAACCAAATTCACAAACAGATTGCCCTTTTGGGGAGCCCTCTGATCTCTCTGCATCTCTCTCCAAAGCAATTCAAATCAGACCGGCAGTCCAGTATATGACAGAAGCATCACAAGTACTGTGCTTGGAGAGGCATAAATAAAGCAGGCTCATAAACAGCAATAGGCTGTGTGTATCGACCATTTAAACAACAATTTCAATCAAGTCCAAAAAGTGCTATTCAAGAATGCTGCCATGCCTCATCCGTTGCTTCAGCTCTATTAGTTCGACCAGCCTGGCTTCACAGTGCCAGACAATGAACAGTCGATCTCAGTCCAGGATGCGGTGACAAACCTTATCTCATTTTGTTGGTTGCAGGGAGGAGTGGGAATGGTTGCGAAATGTGTCATCCTTGACTGATTCCATTGCCACAGAGGGGAACACAGGGAGCTCACTGTGTTCTTTCCTAGACGGGCTACGTACGGCTGTGAAAAGCCTCCTCCAACAACTGGACATGGCTCTTGGTCAGGTAACCTCCATCGTGTACAATTTTCACATTGAAGCAACAACTTGCATCTGTGCAGCCAACCTATTAGCAGTAAGCACTGGATGGAGAATCTAGTTCAAGGCTTGTTCTTTTTTGATTGGAAATACATAGTAGGTCTGTTCCCACCTCTAAAAGAAGAGAAACAACCTTAATGTTTCCTTAAGATAAAGAAGTGGCACAAAGTATTGAACTTCACCCAAATTGATTCAAACTATTTTTACAGAGCAGGGTTTAAAGGTTTATAAATCTAAGTGGACAGATGAAATTATGCGAAAGATAGCCGGGATCTAAATGATTGATCAGTAAAGACTTGGCGGCAGAATGGCCTCCTGTTCCTTTCAAGTGTTGATTAACATGTTCTGAATTTACAGAATATTCTATTTTCCAGTTTTTACCATCTAAAATGTTTTCTTTTTATTTCTCTTTCTTATGGCTCTTTAACAGTTGACCTGAGAGATTATTCTAAGCCAACCTGACAGTTATGGTACACACAGGTACCAGGTTGGCCATCTGATCCAGTGTGGTCATCAGGTGTGGGCAACGGAATTGTTGCATTGGTACAGAAGGGAGAATCCATCTCTGAAATTAAGCACTGCTGATTAACGAGAACCTCTGCTTTTCTTAAATAGTCTTTAGATGAGGACATCTTTAACAAGTTATCGCCCACCTCGATTTGCCCTTGCGGTACTAATGAGGTGCCTTTCTAAATGGCTTAAATCCATATGGTGTAGATACACCCCCAGTGCTGTTAGGGAAGGAGTTCCAGGAGTTTGACTTAGTTACATTGAAGGAACAGTGATATATTTCCAAGTCAGGATGGTATATTCCTTGGAGGGGAACTGCAACTGGTGATGTCGCAGTGCATCCTCTGTCCATGCATATCCAGGTGGTAGACGTCACGAGTTTGGAAGTCGCTACTGAGGAAGTCTTGATTCGTGCTGCAGTATACCTTTTAGATGATATATACTGCTACTCCTGAGCATCAATGGTGGAGCGAGGGAATATTTAATGTAGTGGATGGGGCACTGATCCAGCGGGCTGTTTTATCCTGGATGGTGTTGAGCTTCTTCAGTGTTGTTGGAGCTGCACTTGCCCAGGCATGTGGGAAATATTCCACTATATTCCTCACATATGCCCGGTAAATGACAACAGTCTTTTGGGGAGGGTCAAGAGGTGAATTACTCACAGCAGAATTCCCAGCTTCTGGCCTGCTCTTGTAGCCAAAATTTTGTTTTGCAGGTCCAAATGAGCTTCTGGTCAACTCCAGTCAATCATGCCTATTTGACAGAGGAGGACAAAGGGATAGATTAGGAAGGGGGAAATAGAGTACAAGAGTAAGCTTTCAGGAAACATACAAACTGGTTTCAAAAGCTTCTGCAGGTATGTGAAGAGAAAAAGGTTAGTGATGACAAATGTAGGTCCCTTCCAGTCAGAGACAGGGGAAGTTATAATGGGAAACAAAGAGATGACAGACCAATTAAATACATTTTAGGATCCATCTTCACAAAGGAGGACACAAATCAGTATTTGTAGATGAATAGTATTAGGAAATTGATGGGATTAAAGGTCAATAAATCCTCAGGGCCCAATAATCCACATTCCAGAATACTTAAGAACGTGACCATAGAAATAGTGGATACATTGGTGGTCATTTTTAAAGATTCCATAGACTCTGGAACAGTTTGAAGGGATTAAAGTTTGGCTATTGTAAGTCCACTGCTGAAAAAAGGAGGAACAAAGAGAAAACAGGGAATTATAGACTGGTTAGCCTTACGTCAGTAGTGGGAAAAATGTTACAGTCCATTCTAAAAGATTCAAAAGCAGAGTATTTGGAAAACAGTGACAGGATTATTGGACAGAGTCCGCATGGATTTATGAAAGGGAAATCATGCCTGTCAAATTTACTGGAATTTTGAGGATGTAACTAGTAGAGTAAATAAGGAAGAGCTAGTGGATGTGAGCTGCTTGGATTTTCAGAAGGCTTTGGTAAGGTCCTACATAAGAGCTTAGCATTTAAATTAAAGTGCATGGAATTGGGGGTAATGTACTGACTTGGATAGAGAACTGTTTGGCAGATGGGAAATATAGAGCAGAAATAAACAGGCCTTTTCCCAAGTGGCAGGGCAGTGACTAGTGGGGTACCACAACAATCAGTTGGACCTAAATTATTCACAACATGTATTTAGTTTGCTAAATCATTAATATAGTATCTCCAAGTTGTTAGACAATGCAAAGCTGGATCGGAGGGTGAACTGTGAGGAGAATTCAGAGATGCTTCAGTGTGATTTGGATAAGTTGAGTGAATGGACAAATGCATGGCAGATGAAGTATAATGTGGATAAGTGAGAGGTTATCCACTATGGTAGTAAAATCTGGACGGCAGATTATTATCTGAATGGTGATAGATTACAATTGGTGGAGGTGCAACAAGACTTGGATGTCCTTCTACTTTCATATGCCAGAATGTATGTATGTAGGTGCAGCAGATAAATGATATATCACCCTTCATCGTAAGAGGTTTTGAGTACAGGACCTTAGTGAGAAAACACCTGAAATATTGTGCGCAGTTTTGGTTTCCATATCTGAGGAAGGATGCTCTGCCTCTGGAGTGAGTGCAACAAAGGTTTACCACACTGATTCCTAGGATGACAGGACTGACACATGAGGAGAAGTTGAATTGGTTAGGGTTATATTCACTGAAGTTTAGAAGAATGAAGAGGGGATCTCATAGGCACCTATCAAATTCTAAAAGGGTTACATAGGGTAAACGTAGAAAAGATGTTCCTGATGACCAGGGAGTCACAATTTGAGGATATGGTGTAGGCTATTTAGGACAGAGATGAGAAGAAATTTCTTCACCCAGAGAGTGGCGAGACTGTGAAATTCCCTACCACAGAAAGTTGTTGAGGCCAAAACATTGAATGATTTTAAGAAGGAGTTAGATATAGTTCGTAGGGTTAAAGGGATCAAAGGTAGATCAGAGGTAGAAAGCAGGAACAGGTTTGGATGATCAGCCATGATCATATTGAATGGCAGAGCGGGCTTAAAGGGCTGAATGGTCTACTCCTCCTGTTTTCTATTTGCGTTACTGAGTCACTTTCATTCAACTCATTTTATTTGGGTACGGAGACGTCAGTACCAAATTGTAGCCTGAAAATTTTCTCTGTTTTTAGGCTGCGGATTTTCGTCTATACACACAGGAAGTGTTGGAATTTGGACGTGAAGTCTCCTTCCTCCTGTTGCTGCCTCCCTCGGATGATGTGTGTTCAGCCCCAGGACAGGATGGACATCCCTCAGGGTTTCTGACCCTGCCACTTCAAATCTTTGAGCTTGGTGGGTAAGGCCATTGGGAACAGATCTACATCCATGTGAAGTATAGGAACAGGAAGAGACCATTCAGCCTCTTAAGCCTGTTCCACATTCTGTTAGAATCTGCTTATCTTCAATGTATGTCCCTTGGTTTCATAATCTTTGTTACCCCCTTGTCTAACATAAAGCTGAGAACAGTTAATGTAGCACTGGGATCAACACACGATCTTCCTCACCTGTAGGTTCCACTTCTCACTTTTTCTCAGAACCAGGAAGATTTTAGATGAGATAGTAGGAACTGCAGATGCTGGAGAATCTGAGCTAACAAGGTGTAGAGCTGGATGAACACAGCAGGCCAAGCAGCATCAGAGGAGCAGGAAGGCTGACGTTTCAGGCCTAGACCCTTCTTCAGAAATGGAGCTGACGTTTCGGGCCTAGACCCTTCTTCAGAAATTCTGCCATGCCATTTCTGAAGAAGGGTCTAGGCCTGAAACGTCAGCCTTCCTGCTCGTCTGATGCTGCTTGGCCTGCTGTGTTCATCCAGATTTTAGATGAGGTCATTTTTAACAGTTTCGTGACAGTTCCTGGTGTGTACTGGCCTTTTACAAAACAAATCCCCTAATTTGCACATTCCATCCAGAAATTCTGCCTATGTCTTGTTATGGACCAGACAAAACCCCCTCAAAATATATTAAGAAGATAGTCTAGACCCTAACTTTTTCTTATTTTAAAGGTAAGTGGCATTGCACTCTGGATGTAATTCAATTGGTCAAACTACTCGACTTCAAGCAAAACATATTTTATTTTTACACTACAATTAAAATATAGACAAAACAAAAAGACAAGATTTGGTGTCAAAATAATATCTCTATTTTTATTAACTGCTCCGATATAGTAACATCCCATAAACACACCCTTGACAAAGGCAAAGTCAGTAAAACAGATCTGTCTCACATGCAATTCTAGCAGCAGGAAGAGAACTCCAGCTTCTGGCTGTAACAGAGCTTCCACATCCAGCTTCAAGACCCCAGCAACTGCTACTGAAGGCTAAAACTAGAAAACCTGGTTCTGTGGGAGCTTGGCCCCACCAAATCAGGCTGCTGCTATTGTTGCAACTTGAAAAAAAAACCCAAGGCCTCACAAGTTGTTTTTATTTTTGGTTTTGAGCAGACTGTTTTACACCTCTGACTCAGCCTTCACAAAAAAAACTAGGACAAAATACACCTCTTAAAGCCACAGTATTGTCACAGCCTAAAAATAGTTAATTGTCATTCTGACCCAGTAGGGAATGCTGTCCTAAGATGGGGAGTGAGACACATTTGTTAGTTGGAGATGTGGCATTTTAAACTACAAATAAGCATGGTATATTATAAACGTCATTTTTATGCAAAATTAATTGACCAACTGTGAAGCACTTTGGGGACATTCTAAGGTCATGAAAAGTCCTATATAAATGTAAGCCTTTCTAATCTCTGATCAGGGGGTGCTTGAAATTGAGGAAAAATACATTCAAATTAGTACCACTGACCCCATTTTCTAAAAAAAATTGAAGGAAGACTCCAAAAGTAGTAATAGATTTGTTGTTCTCCTTACTTAGATCCTAGCAAGTATGGAGCTAGGGCCACAATCTCAGGGTAAGGGGCCAGCCATTTTGGGATGAGAAGACTTTTTCACATAGGGTTGTAAAATTTGGAATTCTATATTCCAAATTGTGTATGTTCAGTCAATGAATATATTCAAGAGAACGGTTAATGTTTGGGAACTCAGGAAAATAAGGGATGGTTTGAGAAAGTGGTGTCACTGTAGAGGATCAGCCATGATCCACTAGGAGGATACCCAGCCACAAGGATTAAATTACAAGGAAAGGTTGCATAAACTAGTTTGTAATCCCTAGCATATAGAAGGTTAAACAAAAGGTGATCCAGCTGAAGTGCTTAAGATAATCAGAGTTGAAAAATAACAATTTGCAGGATTAAGTCATTCGGCCACTTGAGTACATTCTATTTTTCAATTAAATCATTGTTCATCTGTCAATTCCATTTACTCACCTTTGCACATATCTGGCTGAATGCTTTCCTATGCTGTATCATTTTATGATGTTATACAGTAGAACCATCAGCACTGGTGAGAGTTTGCAGAACAAAAGGACACAGATATTTCTAATCAATCTTTTGTTCATTTTTTGTTCATCTATAAAAATCCATCCTATTAACCTCTAACAACTGGTTATTACAGTGCACTTCTCAACCTATGAGCAGGAGCTCTTTTCAAAGTACTGCCAGACTTCAATTTTATTGGAACTTGACTCGTTGCTGTCACAACAAGCTTTGAGGGAAGCTATAGATGACACAGAATTAATTGAAGCAAAAGAGAAACACGGACAAGTTACAGACCTTATTCAGGTAAATGGTACCTTAAACTGCACGTTCCATCTCTTGAAACAGTAATGTCATTATAGGTATCAAACAGTCCTTAGATTGATGAGACCTGCTCGTCTCCCTATCATTCCTTCCTTATTCACTGAATCTTCCCTTTATCCATCCCTCCTTTCCTCCCTCTTTCTCTTTGCTCTTGTTCCCTTCTTCCATCTTTCCCTCTCCCTCCCTCTTCCTTCATTCATTCCATCTCTTTGTCTCTTCCAACCTCTCTATGGCAGCCCCTCTCTCCCACTTTCTCATTCTCCTTCCCCCCTTTTCTCCCAGCCTCTCCTGCACCTGCCTCCCTCTTTCATTCTTCCCTCCTTCTCTGCCTCAACTTTTCTCTTTATCCATCCTCCATCTTCCTCAACGCCTCTCTCTCTTTTTCTATCCCTTTCTTCTTCATTCTTTCTCTCCCTTTTTTCATCATTCCTTCCCTGTTTGAAGCTATATTTGCTAACAAAATAATTTTTCAATATTAGCAATTAGATGACATTTGGAGGGAGGTCCGTTGGATTACAGATGTACTACAATATGCTCGGTACAGACAACCTCCCACTGGCACACCTCTCTGCTGGATCCTGGAGATTTCGAGTATCATGGAGGTAAATGAGAAACCAGAATCGGTCACAGACCATGTGAATTCCACTGCCTCTTCTCCAGTTGATGACAGGAAGAGGGAACGTCCAGGTGAGCTTCCATTGAATAAAGCAGATAGGGACTGGTGGGGCCCAGGTCCATTTTTATTGATTTGTGGGATGTGGGCATTGTTGGCAAGTCTGGCCTACCCTTGATTTATTGAGCGGCCTGCTGGCTAGGTCTCTTCAGATGATCAACCACATTGCTGTGGGTCTAATGTCATCTGTAGGCTAGATCAGGGTAAGTGTTGTAATTGTGGTAACACAGCAGCCAATTTGTGTCCATCAAGCTCTCTCAAAACAGCAATGTGATAATTATCAAATAATCTGCAAGTTTTACACAGAGAGTGGTGAGTGCGTGGAATGCACTGCCAGCAGTGGTAGTGGATTCAGATACATTTAAGCGACTCTTGGATAGGCACATGGATGATAGTAAAATGAAGGGTAAGCAGGTTAGTTTGATCTTAGAATAGGTTGGCACAACATCGTGGGCTGAAGGGCCTGTACTGTGCTGTACTGTTCTATTTTCTATGTTTTAAGGTTGTTAAATGTTAAATATTGATCAGTCAGCTTGTTTCATTCAAGGAACCTATAGAGATAAAACTTGATTGAATTTTTTTCCCCCAATTAACTTCAAGTGACCAACAACTCAGTGGTTTGATGGATAGAACTGTCCCAACTGAACAAGCCATAACTGTCATTAGGGGCTGTGTGTGAATGGTGTCAGCCTTGTCTGCACTTCTCAGTTGTAAGGTGTAATTTCAAATCCCACTCCGGAAACTGGAGCCATCGATGCAGGATTAATTTGACTCTAATGGAGTTTCTGTCATTCCGGTAAGATGGAAACCCACGGTTCTCAATATCTGTCCTCTCAGGTGGTCTGAACCATCCCCTGACACCTTGAGAAGAACAAGAGCATTCTTCTGGCTGTCTGACCAGCATTTCTCCAGGGTTAGAATGTGAAACTCAATAACACAGAACATAGAGTTGAGGCTCAAAAGGGAACTAGATGATTACATAAGAGAAAAGGTATGCTGAGTGGCTAAAATATGTGGCTGGAATCAGACAAGACTTGTGAAGAGTGTAATGGCTGGCACAGACAAATTATGCCAGATGGTCTTTCTCTTTGCTGTGTATTATATATAACCGATAGCAACAAAAGAATACTGGTCATTTAGCTCAATTCTGGGAATTCAGTGTGTGTAAATTGGCGACTAAGTTTGCTACATCATACAGTGATAAGTCCCCAAACTGTACTTCATTGGTGGTGGTACTTTGGACCATCCTGAGATTGTGAAAGTGCTATATAAATGCAAGTTCGGTTGATTTTCTCCCTCTACATACATACAATGTTGTGTCACTGAATCGTTGTGTGCACTTTGTGATTCGGTCTTAGAGGTGCATTCTTCCTACAGGAGACTCTTAAGCCTGGCAATCATAGATTGATACAGCACAGAATGAGGCCAGTTGGCCCATTGTGCCTGTTCTGCCTCTTCAAAGGAACTGTCCAATTAGTTCCATGCCCCTTCACTTACCCCAAGGCCTGGCATATTTTTATTGAAACTTCTTGTTGAATGTGCCTCCACCCAGAAAGAACATTCCAATTAGAATAACACTGTATCTAAAACTTCCCTCATCTCCAATCGTAGGATCTTCTGGCTTTACCTTAACTTTGTGTTCACCTGTGAGCAGAAACAGTTTGCCCTTTATTAAAATCCGTCAGTATTTTGATGATCTACATTAAATTTCTCCTACACTTCATCTGCTGTAAGGAGATCAATCCCACCCTCTGCAGCCTCTCCACAGAACTCAAGTGCCTCATTACTGGTATCACATATCCCCTAAATCCTCTCCATGGCTTTGAGAAGCTTCCGAACTGTAGTGCCTAGAATTGGTCACAATACTCCGATATACGTCTAACCAATATTCTATGAAAGTTCAACATAATTTGCTTATTTTTTTATCCTGAGGGCGAATTTGAAATATACAAAAGGAGGATGTTGGTTAAAATGTTGGTTGAACAGAGTTCCAGCATATACTTTTCTAGTCAAAGTTTTATTTCAGATCACACAGCGGTAAAATCCAGTTCCAGTGATTATTTATCTCCACATACACCCAGTTAAGTATTTAATCAATTATCCCTTCATTAACATAAAAACATAACTTGATAGAAACCTTTAAAATTCTGAAAGGGTTGATAGGGTAGGTAGAAAGAAGATGTTTTAATTTGATGAGGAAACCAAAATGTAGGCCAGGATACTCATAAACCCAGGATGTAACATGGGAGAAATTTCCTCACCAAGAGATAGGTAAGAATGTGATATTGTCTACCATATGTAGTTGAGGTGAATAACATAGATGCATTTAAGGCACGGTGGCTCAGTGGTTAGCAGTGCTGCCTTACAGAATCAGGGAACCCGGGTTCAATTCCACCCTTGGGTGACTGTTTGTGTGGAGTTTGCACATTCCCCCCGTGTCTGCATGGGTTTCCTCCCACAGTCCAAAGATGTGCAGGCTAGGAGGATTGGCCATGCTAAATTGCCCATAGTGTTCAGCGATGTGTAGATTAGGTGGGTTTACAGGAGGATGGGTCTGGGTGGGATGCTCTGAGAGTCGGTGTGGACTTGTTGGGCCAAAGGGCCCATTTCCACACTGTAGGGATTCCATGATTCTATGAAAAGGAAGCTAGTTGAGGATCTATGGGAGAAAGAAATAGAAGGACATACTGATAGGGTGACATGACGTAGAATGGGAGAAGGTTTATGTGGCGTATATACAGTTAGACAAGCAGCCTGCATATTCTGTGTAATTCTATGGAAGTGTTACTCCAGAAATAGGAGCACAAGTTAGATGATTTGGCCTATTGACACTGCTGCATTATTCGGTATGATCATAGTTGTTCTTTGGCGTCAACTCCACTTTCCCACTTGCTTATCCCTTGATTCCTGAGACAGCAGAAATCTGTCTATCCCAGCATTATAAGTTTTTAACAATGGAACATCCCAGTCCCTGAGGTTAAAGAATTCCAAAGATTCATAATCTTTTGGGTGAAGAGATTTTCCTTATCACAAGCCTAAATTATCTTCCCCTTACCTTGAGGCTGTGCCTTCTGTTCTAGATTTTCAGTAGAAACAGTACCTCAGTTTCTGCCCAGTCAAGCCCCTTCAGAATCTTGTATGTTTCAGTGCTGTCACTTCTCATTCTTCTTAATTTCAGAAGATGGAGGATGACTTAATCAGATTTATGTCTCCAATTTTTTTCAGATTGTAAAGAAATTACAGATGAAGATGACGTTTTCTGGCCAATGGAGAGAGACTGTGATTTGAAACTGTCCCTGAGCTCTGATCAGCTGGTCTGGATGGACCCCCAGCGCAGTGAGTACCATCACTCCAGGACAAGCATTGTGATGGACACAGATAGTAAAAACCCACTGCAGCATGTAGATCTCCACAGAGGACAACACAGATACAAGGGAGCTGACAGAGAGTTCCACTCAACTGGGAGTCTGGAATTTACAGAGCGGACACTGAAGGAAGCCAGCGTCTACAAGTTCTGGTCACAGCCAGGATCAATGGATGAAGGCACTGAGGAGTTTGATCGTGAAGGACCGTACAGTTTCACCAGTGAAATTGTCCAACACATCAGTCTACCTGGATGCAGTCTGGTTGAGTGGATCAAGACGTCGCAGGAGACTTAAAAATTCTATTACCTTGAAGTTGGACTCACCATTCCGATGTAAATTATTTCCAACTCTGAGTAAAGAGTCTCACAGTATCTTTAAGGTGTTTTTTGGAAAGTGTGGAGGGATCACTCGGACATTACAGTGAGTTAGATACTAGCCTGTGTTCCCTGAGACTTGCAGTCCAGTTCGGATAGAAGGAGTCAGGCTCCTCTGTCAGTTGATTAGGTGAGTGTGGGAGGTCTACTCGGGACACCTCAGTCAGAATTGTAAAAGGCAGAGGTTGGTAGTTGTGGCAAGTGGAGATAATCACACCCATCCTCTTCTCAAGTTGGGAACAGAAGCATATTTGTGGGATGGACTTGAATGATGTTAGCTCCTTGTCTAGCCAAGTTTTCAAAGGGAAATGGACGTGGTTTCAGGAGCAATTGATCCTAGAGGAATCAAGATGATCAGTGTTTGAACAGCAAATTTCTGCCAGTAGTTTGATATATCAATTATTTACTAATTCCCAGCATTTGTGGTACATCTGTCCTTTAATGTCGTCGAATTGTAGAACAATCAGCAATGAAGGAGGCCTTTCAGCCCATTGTGTTGTATTATCCCTTGATAAAAGCTCTCCTGTTAGTCCCACACTGATTGTATGTTCCCCATTGCCCTGCAAACTTATCCATATTTATCCAATTCCCTTTTGAAAGTTCTATTGAATATGCATCCATTGTTTGATTTGATTTGATTCATTGATGTCACATGTACCTAAGTACAGTGAAAAGTTATGTTTTGTGTGTAGTACAGTCAGATCATTTCATACAAGAACAAACATATTATAGGGTGATCAACAACTTGTGCAGATGTATCAGATTGCATACGTTGAATCAAGATATATCAGCCTATAACCGGTATATCAAACCATCTATGGTGTATGACAGATTGTGTACAGTTTATCACAACATGTGCCATGTATCCATTACCCTTTCAGGCAGCGTGTTCCAGATCCACAAATCGATTAGCCGTCATGTTGGCCGTAACTCATTTACCAGTTATTTAATATTGGCTGAGGGATTTGGAGCCTGCAAACCCCGAACCCTGGCAACATACCTTCATAGCCCAGGCTGCTCAGTCTTGTTTGTATTTGTTCCTTTTTGCTGGTTCACATGTTGCCTGGAGGTCTGGAAGGGTTAATGCTCTGTCTTCATTGGTGGATAAATCAGAATGCTCATTAGCAACAACAACAACCTATATTTATTTAGTACCCCAAGATCATGGCAATGCAATTATAAACTTCATAAGTCCTTGGTTGTATCATTTAGCTCTTCAGGAATGCATTATCAGCTTATGTTGGATAGTAATTTTTCTCCACAGCACACATTGATGCCCATTCAAGTGGCACATATCCAATTGCAGGGCTCAGATAATGCGAATGTAAAATGAGCAAAGAGTAGACCAGGAAAACTCAATTCCTGTTTTTCTTAAACCTTGAACATTCTTGCCTATAGTTCATTGAGAACTGCTGCCTGGCCCGCTGTGTGCCTGCAGCTCCACACTGTGTTGTCTTTGACTCCAGCATCTCCGGTTCTTGCTATTTGTAGGTGTATGACTGATTATGTACAATTTATCACAACATGTGGTTCTCTGGCTCTGTGTGAGGGGTTCTCTGGGCTGTGCACGAGGATCTTGGGGCTGTGTGTGCAGTTTCTGGACTGGATCTTGATCCACAATCTTGCAGCCAAGATGTCTTTCACTGAACCACTTTGGTCACATTACTTGGCTTGAATTGGCTTAATTAATAAACACCCATCAGATATTGTGTGTTACAGAACCACTCAGGGAGTTCTGCATTGCTGTATTAACATGCCCTTTTTTTTTTGTTTTGGGTGGCACCCTGCACTCAGTATATAAAGCAAATATTAGATATGATGATATCATAGAATCCGTACAGTGCAGAAACAGGCCCTTTGGCCCAACAAGTCCACACTGACCCTCAGAGCATCCCACTCAGACCCATCCCCCTATAACCCACCTAACCTACACATTCTGAACACTCCGAGCAATTTAGCATGGCCAATCCACCTGGCCTGCACGTCTTTGGACTGTGGGAGGAAACCGGAGCATCTGGAGGAAACCTACACAGACATAGGGAGAATGTGCAGACTCCACAAAGACAGTCGCCCGAGGGTGGAATCGAACCCAGTTCCCTGGTGAGGCACCTTGTGATCATGAACCATGGACAGTGGTGGTCAATGGTCTATTGTTCTTTCCACCCGATGGCTGACCAGGAAACTGTCCCTCTTATCGCTTGCCATTGACATGTGTTGGAAGGATTGAAAGTTGATCCTGAATGTATTTGGCCATGTTATAAACATACTTTCCTCAGTCAGGTCCTGGGGTGGGACTTGAACTCAGAGATTCTGTCTCTGAGACTATGCCACAGGATTGCCCTCAGATGCCTTAACAAGTCAATAGATAAACAAGGAGGAGCAATGGCATAGTGTTGATAGTCGACTATCTATAATAAGGTTGAGGGCTATTCAAAATGAAGAGGAAACTGATTAGAGAGCACTGCCAAAGAGTGAGCACATGCACTTTGGGCCAAATGGCTTCCTACTGTGCTCTCTCATTCTGTGATCTTTGCAAGAGAAGTTACATTGCAAATGGAACCAGACATAATACAACATAATAATTCAGGACAGTAACCATCATTTGCCATGCTATTCATTGGCACCACACCTGTGTGCAGTGACAAATTGGGTTTCACTCACATCATGTCAGGAAGGGGTTTGTTCTGCAAACAGGAAATAGAAGTGGCTGGAAGAAGGACAGGAAGGGAGCCCCAAATCCTAGGACTCTGCCTAACCCAAGAGCAGGAAGATCTAAGGGAAGTACTTATATTACCTAGAAGAAATGGTTGCAGAGGAGGATAGTGCTTATGATTTGGTTGCAATGCAAAGAAATGCAATGACTTCATGTTGCTTTCTTAACCTTGCTGTCTTCATCTCTGCCCACACAATCATCACCTACAGTTGAATCAATTCCATGCTCGGGTGACTGTCTGCGTGGAGTTTGCACATTCTCTCTGTGTCTGCATGGGTTTGCTGGTGCTCCGGTTTCCACCCACAGTACAAAGAAGTGCAGGTTAGGTGGATTGGCCATGTTAAATTGCCCATCATGACCAGGCATGTGCAGGCTATATGGATTAGCCATGGGGAATGCAGGGTTAAAGGGATAGGGTAGGGGGATGGGTCTGGATAGGATGCTCTTCGGAGGGTTGGTGTGGGCCTGCTTCCATGCGAGAAGGATTCTATGATTCTACAACCTCAGTACTAACGGTAACCCCCCATCTACTGTTTTTCTTCACTCTCCTATCATCAGCATACACTTCACTCTGTTTCTTCCATTTCACAATCTTAATATTGCTATCCTCTTTTCCCCTCTCCAACTTTACACACTACATGCCAATTATTTGAGAGCAGCTGGAACATTCACCAAGCACCTCCTGAGACTGTTACTAATGCACTCCTTTCTTGTAGAAGATAGTTGCTTATCAGGGAGCTCATCTGCTCAGCCTCTCCAATGGGGAAGAAAGCATGGATGAAGAGAAAGTCATGGTTATGGACTGTGGAAACACTTTGGCAGGCATTGAAAATGGTGCCTACACACTTAGTCTCATTTTTTGCTTCTACCGTTTTTATATCACCCCACACTGTTTTCATAAGCACTCTTCTTTCCACCAACCCACATCCTGTTCTATCATTTTAGATGTTGAAAATGTGGAGGCACCTCAACCATTCCTTGTGGTTCCAAGTTCTACATTCTCACCCACTTATGTACAAAGCAGTTTTTCCTGAATTTTCTGTTGGATTTATTAGTGACTGCACAGTTCAGGAGACCATGCTATAAGGGAAGCTACATAAAAACATGAGGGAGAAAGAAATAGAAGGACATGCTGATAGGTGAATGAAGATGGAAGGTCACTGCTCCCTTTGAGCTGCACTTCTTTGTGTAATCCAAAATGTACTGCACAGTTTAACAAACAAGTGACACACAACTAACATCCCCCTTAGGATCTTAAAGGAACCAAACAAGCTGGCACACAAAGGAAATGTGAAGGAACATTGTTGGGTGGCTTGTATGGAGCATTGTGACCTTTGGATGAAAAGATCTCTTCCTGTGCAGCAAAGTTTATGTAATTCTATGAATATAGGAATGACTCATCCCAGATCAAGACTTGCAGTGTAGAATCCAGTGCAGAACACAGTAATTTCGACCTGAAAGTCTTTGATTGAATCCTGGTTGTGCACAGAGCTAGTTACCAAGTCAGCATTCAGTGTAGTAAGGTTGGTTATGGGAAGGAAAACAAAAGACGAATCAGAAATGGTTTATTTTTCGATGACTAGAACTGAGTTCCCATTCAATGCAATATACTGACATTCATTTGTAGTCTGTGCAAAACACACACATGCAAACACTTTGACCAAAATGTCACTTAAACGTGTTACCCAGGTATCTTAGTATCTAGACCAACAAATGGATACAAGTCAAATAACAAGTAAAACAGTTGCAAATGTTATTAAACAAATAATTAAAGTAAGTATGCCACTCAAAATTTAATTACAGTGTTGTCCAAAACTTCCCAAATATACTTCCCATGTCTACTTGAACTCGGGATGGGCTAGTGAAGCTTGCAAGGTTCAATAATCTCTCAGTGTCTGTGTCCCCTTGTCTCTCTCTCTCTCTCTTTCTCTGTGTCTTTCTCTGCAGAAGTGATCTCATACTACCTGAGCTCTCTAGATAGAGGGTGACTTTCTATCTTGGGTGTAGCGCCTCTGTTGGTGGAGTTTCTGCTCCTTTCCCAAGGCCAAATCCAGGGTTATATACCTTTCTGGAACATTCACAGAAAGTTCTGTCAAACCCTCCGCTCAGAGCACAGTCCTTAATTGTCAGAGATATTTTTGATGTTTCAGTGCAGGGATAACAATCATGTCTTTGATCGTTTACATTCCTTCCTTTGATCATGGCATAGATGATGAAGGTCACGTGCTGTTCTGTCCTGAGGAAGGGTTCAAAT